TACGGAGACACCAGTCATTCATTAATTCTTGTCGCAGTATGACTTTCCCGCGACAGTGGGCCTGTGTCTCCCCTCACATCCCGCTTGCCTGCCACCGCACCGCGATTCATCTTCCATTGGCAGACATCTCTCATTTGCCCCCTCTTCTGCCCCCCTTGGGCTGAACCATATTTCCCCACTGTGCTGAGAAACATTGTGGACAGAGAAAGTGATAAAACTTCGTAATAAGCATCATCATTTTAGGCACCAAAAGGAAAAAACCAGATTGATCGTCGATCGATCCGTGGGACTTTTTGGATGGCTGATGGGGGGCCGGGGGAAACCAGGTTCCTGGAGCCGACAACCTGGGTGACTGGAGCATCATCCTGGTCACATCCTGGGCGCATCCTGGCCATTTCCCTCTTTCTAGACGCAGGTTGACGAGGGTCGAGAAAGAAAAAGGTGGACGGCATCATGCAGTCTCACGCAACTCCTTCATCATCACTGGTGATCGCCTGGCAACCCGCTCGTGCAGTCGCCGCTGCAGTGTAACCGTCCATCCATCACCTTCAGTAGTCGGATACCTGCCCTGACCGACGGAGCTGCTAGCAGACTGGGTAAATAGGGTCAGTACGCGACTCGTCCCGATCGTGCTTAATGGGGCTGGGACCGATCTGGGCCCGTGCGAGGGGTTAGAGTTAGGGCTTGAGCTTCTCTTCTGCGCCGGCACTATGGAGTACGAGGGCTCACTCACTCACTCTCCACTACTCCGTACTCTCCCCTCCTCTCCTCGTCATCTCCCCCCGACCCACGTCATGGTCACCAGAGCAAGGGTAAAAAATAGAAAAATTAAACACAAGAAAAAAAAAATGGCAAAATACGAAAAAGAAAATCCTCCACAGCCAGTCCTGATTCAGACCGCATACCAAATTTCACCGCTTCGGATCTATGATGCCACGGGAGTTATAGGGGTCGGTTTCATAGCCGGCTTGCCACTGGTATAGTTACTGCTACTAATCTGAAGGATGCGTGAACTTCCCAAATCGGGCTATCGAAGTGGCTCCGTCGAGTGGCAGTACGGAGACGGGGTTCCATGTCTCTTACACAGCGCATCTGCCGTCCTCAGGTTTAAAAGACTCATGTCGCGCCCGGTGATACCTCTTCGAAATCATTCTGACCCACTACACCACCTTGATCCTTCACCATGGGTATCCCTCATCATGAAGGGACCTCCCACGAGAGGCTCAAGCCCTCTTCGCCAGAACAGTTGATCGCCCGCTTCGGTCGTCTCCATCTGCTGGATGACTTGATCCGTCTACGGGCAGCTGATCCCATCCAGCATCCTATCCTTGCCTACCCCAAACCCTCCCAAGACGATACGGTGGAGTACGAGTACTTCTCCGGGTTGGACCTGGATTGCATGGTTGATCAAGCCGTGTGCACGCTGATGGACTATGGCTTCAAGCCAGTAAGTCACCAATTCTCTCCGGTAGAGCAACGCTGACCGAATGACAGCCCCGCCAGGATGGAGCCATCGTGGCGCTGTTCACGCTCTCCGACCTGAACATGGTCGTCACATTCTTCGCCCTGAGCCGACTCGGCTACACCGTGATGATGCTGTCCCCGCGTCTATCGGCATCCGCCTGCGTGGCCCTGCTCGACATGGTCGGCTGTGACACCATCCTGTACGGCCAGGCCCCCAACATCCGCACCACGATGGGGGAGATCCTGCGCCTGAAGCTGGTGGCGTGTCGCCCCATCGTGCAACGACCCTCGCTGGACGAGGATGTCGAGGAACCGGCCATGCTGGTGCTCCGCCGCAGCCGCAGCCCGGAGACGCAAATCCACAAGATCGCCCTGATCCTGCATTCCTCCGGCTCGACCGGCAACCCCAAACCCCTGTACCTCAGCCACAAGGCCCTGATGACGCATCCCATGCGTGGCCCGGGCTACACCTCCTTCAACTCCCTTCCGTGGTTCCATCTTCACGGGCTCTCCACCGCGCTCCAGGCCATGTACATGCGCCGCACCGCGTACATGTGGGACGCTTCACTTCCGCTGACAGCCCGCACGGCGGTCGCTGCCCTGGAGGCTGCCCGTCCAGAGTCCGTGCAGGGCGTGCCGTACCTCCTGCAGCTCTTGGTCGACAGTCCTCGGGGGTTGCAGGTCCTGCGCCGCTGCGACTCGGTCACATACGGAGGCGCCCCTTGTCCGGATGAGCTGGGCGATCGGTTGGTCGCGGAGGGGGTGAAGTTCGGCGGGTCTTTCGGACTGTGAGTTATCTTCTTTGACAGCGATTTGTTTGCGGTTGCTGATAATCACTGATGTACAGAACGGAAGCCGGACTAGTGGCCGAGTCGATCTCCCGCCCTGCCGACGATCCCTACTGGAACTACATGAAGTTCTTCGACAACATCCGCCCCTTCATCTGGATGAAGCCCATCGGCGATGAGCTGTACGAAGTCGTCTACCTCCAGGGACATCCCGCCCTGACCGCCTCGAACTCCGATGATCCGCCTGGTTCGTATCACTCGCGCGACGTCTTCACGCCCCACCCTTCCATCCCCGACCGGTGGAAGTACGTCTCGCGCATCGACGATCGGATCACGCTGGTGAACGGCGAGAAGGTCCTGCCGCTTCCGATCGAGGGCCGCATCAAGCAGAACCCCCTGATCGACGAGGCGGTGGTGGTGGGCGTGAGCCAGTCGGTGCCGGGCCTGCTCGTCTTCCGGGCGGACGGCTCGCACCGATACTCGGACGCAGAGTTCCTGGACCTCGTCTGGCCCACGGTGGAAGACGCCAACGCGCACGCGGAGCAGTTCTCGCAGATCTCCCGGGACATGGTCGTGGTGCTGGCCGCCGACCGGGTCGTGCCCCGCACGGACAAGGGGTCGATGATCCGCGCCCAGGTGTACTCGCGATACGCCGAGGTGATTGAGGGGATGTACAACCGCATGGAGCAGGACGCGCACGGCACCCTGCAGCTGGACCTGCAGGCCACGGAGGAGCATCTGCTGCGTCTCTGCCGCGAGGAGCTGGCCATGCCCCGCCTCGACCTCGAGACGGACTTCTTTGCCGAGGGCATGGACAGCCTCAAGGCCATCCATCTGCGCCGGCTGATCCTGCGCGACTTCCGCCTCGCGAGCAGCCGGAGCATCAGCCACAACATCGTGTTCGAGACCGGCAGCATCGCCCGTCTGGCGGAGTGCATCTCCGCTGCGCAGAGCGGGCACTCCGATGAGGGGGTGGCCGCAGACGAAGACGAGTTGGCCATGATGCCGGCGCTGATCGAGAAATACTCGTCGGGGTTCCCGGTGCACACCCCTCGTCCCGCGGAGGTGTCCAACACCCGGAGCGTTGTAAGTCCCCAGCCCCGCAGCATTCTTATCCCCTGTGCGCCAGCGCTAACATGTGCGCAACCAGCTTCTCACCGGCCCAACGGGCTCGATCGGCGCGCACACGCTCTACAAGCTCGTCAACGACGACACCGTCTCGCGCGTCTACTGCCTGACGCGGCGCAGCGACGCGAAAGCCTCGATCCTCGCCTCCCTATCCCAAAAGCACCTCACCCTGCCAGCCTTCCGCACGCACAAGATCGTCGCCCTCACCAGCGCGCTCGACCAGGCGCACCTCGGCCTCGACCCGCACGTCTACAACGAAATGCTCCGCTCCGTCTCGCTCATCATCCACACCGCATGGCCCGTCAACTTCAACCTCCCGCTCAGCGCCTTCGAGCCCCACCTCCGCGGCCTGCACAACCTCCTCCGCTTCTCCCTCAGCGTCGCCCTCCCCGCCCCCGCCGTATTACTGTACTGCAGCTCCATCTCCACGGCCCTGGGCTCCCCGCAACCCCTCGTCCCGGAATCCCCGGTCGCCGATCTCTCCGATGCCCTGGAGATGGGCTACGGGCGCTCGAAGCTGATCGGCGAGCGGATGGTCAGCGCGGCGCGGCGCACCGCGGCCGCGCGGGCGTTCTCGCTCCGCATCGGCCAGGTGTCGGGCCACTCGAAGCGCGGGCTGTGGAACGACGCCGAGGCCCTGCCGCTGATGCTGCGCTCCGCGCTGACGCTGGGCTGTCTGCCGCGCTTGGACGGGGTGCAGTGCGCGTGGCTGCCGGTCGATAAGCTCGTCGCCGCCGTGCTGGAGATCGCGCGCGCCGTGTGCGCGCATACGCCGCCGGCGTCGCGGCGGGGGTCTTTCTCCTCCGCCAATTCCGAGGCGGGGAGTGTGGATGGCTGGCCGGAGGATGATGATTCCGTGTATAACCTCACGAATCCGCATCGCTTCGAGTGGGAACACCTGCTGAAGGGCCTGAAGAGGTGCGGGTTCGACGGGTTCCGGACGGTGGGGTTTGCGGAGTGGTTGGAAAGGTTGCGGGAGAGCGAGGCGCGCGGGGAGGAGGGGGTGAACCCTGCGGTCAAGTTGGTGGGGCATTATGAGGCGATGTATGCAGACGCTAGAAAAGAGCCTGGGTTCTGTACGGAGCGGGCGGAGAGGGATAGTGTCACGTTGCGGAATGGGCGGTTGAGGATCGTCGAGGATGGGATTCTGGGGCGCTATGTTAGGGATTGGATGGGGAGGTGGCCCAGAGTATAGGTGTTGAGGAGGGACAGAGTGAGGCTTAGGTTCTTCGATGTTTATATTTTGTTTGCCCTGTACAGATTCTGGGTGGGTTGGTTTGTTTCTGTCCGGGATAGAGAGATACCATGGTGGATGCTAGTGATTAATTCATTCGATCAAAACAGATTGCTATTTTGGCTCTTTCTCAGCAATGTACATTATTCTGATCGAAACACTGAAGATTCAATACTAGGTAGACTGGACAAAGCACAGCTAACCTCTTTGGATGTACCGCAACCGGAGTAAATCCGATCCGAGGCGCTCCTCCGCTCCCGCAACCGATGATCTCACTCGACCTTCCCTCCCCTCCCGTCAACCGTCAACGTCACCGTCACCAAAACCACCATCTACCGTACCACCTCCCTAACTACCAACCACTCTCGCGCATCACAACACACACAATGGGCCTCATCCGCCGCGCCCTCAAACTCACCACCATTGGCGGCACCGCCACCCTGGGCGCCTTCTTCTTCGCCACGCGCAACTCCACCTTCGTCCCCCTCCCCACCACCGACCCCATCTTCCACACGCCCGGCTACCAGACGTTGAACCCGCACAACAACCCCACGAGCCACGACCTGTGCGTCCGCCGCGTGCGGCTGGCCGACATCAACCCCTCGCTGCTGGAGAAGAAGGGCAAATTGACCGAGGCGTTCTGCGCGGGCGTGTGGAGTGGTTGGGGTGAGTTTTTCCTTCCTTGCGCCAGCCCGCTTGCTACCTACCTAGCTCGCGCACCACCTCCCTTCCCTTGCCTTTTCCCCAATTCCCAATCCTTTCACCTACAATACTAATCCCTCTGATCGTGCTAGGATACGCCTACCAACGCCGCTACCTCTCCAAGAAATACGAATCCCCGGCCACGGCCACGGACCTCTGGACCCGGGAGCAGCTGCGCTCCGCCACCTACGAGGTCGGCACGCGCATCACCGACCACTTCGAGGTCGTCGAGAAGACCCCCGAGCGGATCGTCGTGCGGTGCGGCGACTCGCCCCGCAAGACCGGCGTGCGCGACTCCGACGGCCTGTTTGAGATTTCCGCGGTCGTGAAGCCCGAGGAGGGCGTTGCCGAGTTCGGGCTGAAGAGTGTTTTCTTCAAGGGGACGAAGAACGACACGGGCGCGGACGGGGCTGGGGCGCCGCCCATGCCGGCGCATGTGTTCTGGTTGCATAAGCAGTATACGAAGTTGTGGATGGAGACGGGGGTGCGGAATGTTTTAAGGTGATTTTTGTGGATTGGTTGAGGGGGGTGACGGGGTTGACGGGTGGGAATTGGGGTGGGAGTTGGGGGCTTTGAGGCAGGGGGCTGGTATATATACCTTGGTTTGTTGGGGTGAAGTGAGGGTTGGTTGAGGTAGATGTAGATGTGGGATTTATGGTCTATCTAGTGTCAGTGAAGTTTAGATTATGCTCTTCAACCACTGGGTCAATCTGTGGCCTGTTTATTCTTGAATTGGGTGGCAGTGTGTCTTAGAACTGGTGAGCCTGTCAGCTAGGAGTAACTAATTGTCCAGGGGCAAAGGGGCAAAGGCGCAATGGGTCAACGTGGGATGTCAGCTCGATCGGACAGAAACCCGCCGGAATTGGACCGACCCCCGCACGGGATGCTGCTCCTTGCCATGCACCCCCACGTTTCCCCGCCCCCAGTCAACCCCATATCTTCTACATCGCCTGCAGGTGTCTGCACCTGTGCTGGACAATAATCTCACAATGTCTGACAAGATTGAAGTCCTCCTCTTTGGCCTCGGCGCGTGAGTATCCACCATCCCCGAACCAACAGAATTGACTGACTCAAAACCAGCATCGGCTCCTTCTACGCCTTCATCCTGCGCAGCTGTCCCCGCGTGCATCTGACGGTCGTCGCTCGCTCGAACTACGCGGCTGTCAAGGAGAATGTACACCCCCTTTCTCGAATTTCTCGCTGAAATGAAATGTCTAACAACGAATAGGGCATCCTGCTGAAAAGCGCCAACCACGGCGAGCACCGCTTCCACCCGGACCGCGGTAAGCATTCACCACCCGCCCAGAGGGAAACCACCTGGACGCTAACGACAGCACAGTAATCCGCTCGCCCTCGGAAATCACCCCAGACTCCGCCCCATTCGACTACGTCGTCTGCACGAACAAGGCCATCGACGTGGACACCGTCGCCCGCGTTCTCGCGCCAGCCATCACGGACCGCACCGCGATCGTGATCATCCAGAACGGGGTAGGCAACGAAGAGCCGTTCCGGCGCTTGTATGCCGAGAACCCGATCATCTCGTGCGTGGTGCGTATACTCCCTACCGTTCTCCGGCTGCTCCCACATACTGCAATCTGATCCCACACTCCGCCCGAATATCTCTCTCACCTGACACACCGATACCGATACTGATCTTCGAAATGGAAAGACATGGGTCGGAGCCCACCAGCCCACCCCGGGGACAACAACGCACACGACCTCCGAAGCGACGCAACTGGGGCTCTACCCGCCGACCAACCCTTCCGCAGTCCCGAGTCTCTCGACCTTCATCGACCTCCTCAGCGCCCCGGCGAACCCGCACCCGACGCCGCTGACCCCGCTCGCGCCGGACGCCCTGCAGCGCACCCGCTGGGAGAAGCTGATGTGGAACTGCGCCTGGAACACGCTGACCACCCTGACGGCGCAGGACTGTCAGGCCTGGCTGCGCTCCTCGGAGGAGGCGCTGCCGCTGACCAAGCGGCTGATGGGCGAGGTGGTGCGCGTGGCGCACGCGTCCGGTGTGGCCTTGCGCGAGGCCCTGGTCGAGGAGCAGATCGCCCGCATGCAGGGGCTCGGGGCGGTGCGGACGAGCATGCAGACTGATCGGGAGTTGGGGCGGCGCATGGAGGTGGATGTGATTATTGGGACGGTGGTGGGGCGGGCGAGGAGGGTCGGGGTTGATGTCCCTGTGCTGGAGACGGTTTATGCGTTGATTAGGGCGGTGGATGGGTTGGCTGGGGGTGGGGCGGGGGAGGTCAGGGGGAGGATGTAGGTTGGTGGTTGGGAGTAGTAGCGCTAGGTTGGCATTGGTAATGGGTGAATCGTGAGCTTGGTTGTGTTGTTAGTGGATTTCCAATATTCGTGCGAATCTAACACAAGTCAATCGGGTGTGAAATCTTGTGTGGATTGTCAGCCGATGATTATCGTGATGGCGAGGACACTGGGCTAGTACTCGTTGGAGAACGGCCAATTACTGATTCTTCTCATGGGAAAAGCTTGTAGTTTGACTGTTGCTGAGTGTCCAGAATGTGCTAGTGTAGCTTCCAATTGTTGTCTGCGGGCGGATTCCATCTGTCACATAATGAGCGGGACAAGTAACATGTTAGGCACGAGACTGCGGCGGAAGAGGACGAGGACAGCCCGCTCAGACTCCGCTCCTCGTCTCTGACACATCACCTTGTAGTGGAAGGGACCTCAGCCCGGCACATGATCTAGAACAAAGTCTGGTAATTGACCAATGTTGTTAGAATTGGGACTGCTACGGAGTTCTGTCAGGTGCATTGAGCAATCACTTAGCAAGGACGCCTCAAAAGCCTGATGATTCAGGCTGCACATCAAGTACCTCTGCTAGTGAGACCTGGCCCGCGTGGAATATGTACCACAATGATCGAGGGTCTAGACGGATGGCTGAGAAGATCATATGACAACAGCCTGGCTGATGAAGTGAGCAACAATGGGTGCGATAGATCTAGCTCCCGGTACTCATAAATCCTCACACCGACAACTCCAATCACACAGTCAAGGACGGGCATGGCCAACTCTCGAATCTGAAACGCCACAAGTAGACATACGCCCTATGCACGAGCATGATGCACAAGCTGGAATAAGACCGACCGCAGCCCATCTCTCGGGAAGTCGGTAGGGGAAGGTATAAGATGTTCTCCCTGATATGACGTCAATGTATCCCATGAAGGGCATTATTCGAGCGAGAAAAAGGGAAGAAAGAAACAAGCATTCAGCACAGACCCGGCTCCGCTCACTTACCCGGCCCCGCTGTGGTGGGCTGTCGCGGGCTCGGCAAGGCCCTGCTGCGGTGGAGCTCGGGATCAGTAACTTACAAAGCTTGGCCAGTATTACATCGTCACGTAAAATACAGAGCTCCACATTCAGCCCCATACGATACAGTACGTAACTTACTAGTGCTCATACATCTACTAGCTGGCCAATCAGGCTACCGGTGCGTACAGCAAAAATGAATATCTTTTTCTCATATATCACCAACTTTCGACTGTTTTGGGAGACGGTGCCCGAGATCGCTGGCCGCGGATCGCGGCCAGTGGCTGGAGATCAGCGCCCATGATTCTATGTAAGAGGTATGTAAGGGGTTCCTTGACTTCTGTCAAGAAGATATCATTGGTGCGTACCTCAGTACATACTGTGCTTGACCAGTCTCATTGGCGATACCCTGAAAGTATACAGTACCGCCCCTGAAGCGCACCTCATTAAAGGTCCCGGGGCCTCATTTGAACCGAGCTTGCACCCCTTCGCTCGCCACCATTTGAGAGGCCAGCATCAAAAAATCATATCTTTCCCTTTCAAGATGAAGTTCCCCACTGCCTTAATCCTCACCAGCGGTCTCCTAGCCGGCGTTCTGGCAGCACCACATCAGAAATCCGCAATGGGAAGCGTCGATGCCATCGATCCCCCGGTAAGTGGCCCCTCCCGTGATCGCAGTTGCATGAACGTCCCTTGGCTATGGAGTATTGATGTGTCCGGATGCAACGAGTAGCTCGTGGGTACCATCACTGGCGCCTTGCCCGGAGTCAACCTACCGCCCCCCCTTGCCGATAGGGCGCTCACTTCCGAGCAGAAGACCACGACCTCCTCACGGGAGCAGCGACGAGGAATCGCAGGCCCCATTGACGGGGTAGTCTGCGACGAGTTCGGCTTCTGTATTTGAAGTTGGGCGGGGTAGCGTTAGGCCTCGGATTGTAGTTGGCTTAGTGGTGGTCACCTTCTTGTCTGGATGACCTAGTGTATGATATGTCCAGATGCACGGGCAACCCGCAGACCACGGGGCCATCAATACTATGCCGGGAAGCGATGCGAGCGCGCTGATCCTCCACAACACAGTCTCGCCCGACCACGGGGCAGTCCTGAACCCCTACCGTGAGAAGCGTCAAGACGTTTACAATACTGCCTCCGACGGGAATGTACTCACCGGCTGCGTGAAGGATATTGCGACCTGCCTCAAGAGGCGACACAACTGCTGGATGAGTTGCAGGGCTGACTCCCGGAGTCCACGGTGGTGGCTTGAGGGCTCCGTGGGGTTTGGCAAGCGGGAGGCGGTGTTTTGCGTGGAATTCTATGTACATGCATCTCAAGTAAAGTCCGACAGGAAGATGGCGGAGTGGTTTGGCGCTCTTGTGTACATGGTGATGCACTCCAGGTTGTCGCTGGTGGCCAATGCAGAGTCAACTTAATCAAGTGCCTTTCATACTTCATCCCAGTTCAGCTCATATGTACTTGGTGGTATATATACTAAGGTACATACCAAAAATGGTTGGCTACTGGTTGGCTGCTTCTATCAGTGGACCTTCGAAGAGTGGTACTCTGGCTGGTCCAGTAGGGTAGTACTCACTGAGGTTATGATATATTTCTGATTTTCTCGTATCCTGCTGGGCTGTTTTCATTGCTACTAGATTCACCCTCTTTGTAGTACTGCTATGAGCTTCCATACAAGGTAACAAGAAACTGCAAACAAGTCGGACGAATCATACAAGTAGTGTATTCCTTGAAGCGTGTTGTTGGAGTTCTATCATGAACCCACCGCAAATTAAGCTATTACGGCGTAAATTCATCTTAGGTCACCTCGTAGAAGCCTAGTGCTAAATACATGGTTTATCGTAGTAGAATTGGAAGGTTTCCTGAGCATATATACGCGACATCGAGGGAGTGACATCCACGATTAAACAAGCTCCCTGTCGGTTTCTCGATCAATCATGAAGGATGGACGGTCTTTCCCTCCTTGGTGCCTCACAAGGTCTTGGATAAATGGCTGTAGCTCTATCGTTCAATCTAAATAATACTCCGCCTCCCCCCCCGCATCCTCCCCCGTGCCACCGCATGTATTGCAGTTCTTGAGATGCGTGCCCTGACATGTGTGGCATGTCTGTTGTGTCGTGAATTGTCAGTTCAATCAGGGAATCTTGACTTGAAACAGCGCTGAGGGTGTTTCCTACCTTACGACCGGTCCCACGACACACTCCGCAATTGCCCCGAGCCTTGCCCAGCTTCACTATATTTCGCGCCAGGTAGAACGCCTGATGTTCCATACTCGTACCAGTGTCGCCGGAGCCATTGCAACGATCGCACGTCCACGTGCCATTCGTGCATTCACAGGTCCATTTGCCGTTTCGGCAGCCCTTGGTGTGTCTTTTAGCATGTTGTAGAGTATGTCGCACTGTTATTTGGATTACATACCGACGGACAGGGTGACATTATGTAGTATGTGAGGGTTGGTTGGTTAGGATTGGTGGTTTTTGTATGGAAGCACAACAATTCAGGGCGCAGCATGGATCCCTTGGCCCTATTTATATGAACGATCCATTTCGGCTCGCTAATTACGGAGCAGCCGAATCCAGCCTGGATAGGAGGTGAGCTGAAGGGGAGCTGAGCTGAAGCGGATCCCTAAGGGAATGTGGACCGGTCTCCACTCATTCTCATGTGCAGACATATTCAGCCGTTGCGTATCCAGTCGGAGAACTTATCCAGCTCAGCAACGCTCAGGCATACGTACATTCACTCGTTATGCGTGCAGGTTGGAAGATCGGATCTTATTCGTTCGATGGGAATGGTTGGGCATGCGTGCATAGATGTCAAGACGGAGAGGTCCGTCAAGTGGAATCGGCCCAGATCAAGCGATGACCTGCAGCAGCAGTCAGTGTGGAGATCTCTTATGTAGATTCAATTTCTGGCTTGAATGAGACTGGCTTGTTGTGAGCTTCGATTGATGATTCCACTACCCAGCGAATGGGCTGCTGTAGAAGTGTGGAGTCCTCAGTTAGCTGAACGAATAACCCACAGTTCATCGAGTCATCTATGGACAGTCTCTGGACTTGTCCCACTCGAAGCCATCAGTAGCGATGAGATTAACACACCGCTAGTGATCGCCTGGCTTTGGGGCCTCGTTATCCACAATTGCCATGACTTATGCGGAAAACATAGCCGAAATTACGTAATTGCGATCGGCAAGCTTCAGCCAGCGACAGATCGTTTGCGGGATCGGCCTTCAGGTCGGAAGTGGAACTTGCCATCGTGATAAACATTTAGCAAAAAATACCTCCGAACTTGAGTAAAGCTGGGAGATAAAGAACTTACTGCTTTATATTTTGATCGTGTCCATTGCCACGCTGAATCACCTTGTTAGACGATAGGTGAACAGCAGAGTGAAGACACAATTCCAACGAACATGGTCACATAGGGCTCGCAAGATCATGTGCCGTCCTCTCCATGGAAAGTTCCATCACTAGTCCAGACCCATGTAGGATGACATCTCATACATCTACGAGACCCTTGGATCTTATCCACTAAAACCACCCTTAAACTGGCCCCACACTTCACAACATGCAAATCCGGCCCCGGCATATCACATACGAGTAACAGACCTGAAGCAGTTGACAAAAGGCTTGCAGATCTGATTATCAAGTATCAGCACAAGATCTCTGGGACGGTGCTCTGGATCACGGCCGATAGCCCTTTGCGTGCATGGATAGGCTACAAGGGACCCATATTGATGAATGACATCTTTCGGATAGCATAGCGATATTCTAGGTTACTTTAAACTACTAGCCTACATGAATTCTCCTCTGACCTCATATCTATCTAGGATTATAAAGCTCTACGTAAATAGACCCTCCCGCTCTTCGCAGATAATACTCGGAATCCTTATCTATCACTCATGAAATGATATTTCATACTTTCTTGTTTATCAGCGGCCTCGAGGACGGACGCATTCAGAGCCTCGCCGCAGGAGTTAGATACTACTGATCTCGAGGTAAGTGACTTAGGGACGCATGCCTCGTAAAAGCGTCAATATGGTAACGTGCCCAGGTCCACAAGTACAAGGAGCCAACGACCTAATATACCGTCGTCCTGCCTGCAGGCCATGGGAGCGGACCCATCAAACTCTCCGTACCCGTCCCGCCAAAAAAGAGGGCAGCAGCCCCCTTGGAGTATTAGGGCGGTGCCCCCCGCCCCCCGGGCGCAGCGTCGAGGCCTCTATACGAAAAGTCGGATGTTCTGTTAAAATGCCTTGATTTGATATCCTGTATATTATTCTCCAAAGAAGACTTGCACTACGAATTCCAACTCTGTACGGAGACGCCGCTGCTACATCTATCCCGCCAAACAGCATATGACAGGTCATATCTAACGTGTTTGAGGAAGTATAATGATCGCCGCAATCGAGTCTGCATCAGCGGCTGTACCCCTTTCACATACATGAACGAGCCTTTCAGGAGCCTCAAGCCGTATAGAATGTTCTGTCAATAGGACGGACACACTCTTCAAGATAGGTAATGAACATCACCGCTACCCTGCATATATCCTCCGCTAGCCATACTCCGTGACGCACATTATCTTAGGAACCGGAGCTGCATATGTATAAGCAGACCGGTGTCGCCCTTCCAAAAACTGCGCTTGGAATCTACATTCATCCTAGTCATCATAACATGAAGCTCTCTACTTCCTTGATCCTTCTCAGCAGTCTTTGCAGCCAGAGTCTTGGCCGCACCACTCCAAAAGCCATCCACACGGAGCCCGGATACTACAAATCTCTTGGTAACTCATCTCCTTTCAGTCAGATTGCTCATCCATGTCTTAGCTAAATACCGTTACGTCCAGGTACCCAAGTCGCCCGCGGACCACGATATCACATCCAATCCTCTACATGGAAGCGATCGGAGCATACAAATTCTCCTCGTCCCAGCCCCTTCTGACCCTGGGGCAGTCCCTTCCAAGCACAAAAGTATAACTCCGGCCCGGGAGAAGCGCCAAGGGGACCTACTTGCCGGCGCTGGGCGGCTTCTTCGCGGCAAAACTATTATCGATGTTTGTGAAGACCATAAGTCCTCCACCTAGCTCTCATGGGTGATGTTGCAGCCCCGTGGGCATTTTGAGGGGAGGGGGACTTTCTGCACGGCTATGTGTGGCCCGACGGGCCAACGGTCGAGTGGTCAAGCACTTGCATGTATGTAAGTAATACGGAGGAAAGAAGGCCTGTTTTGTTTCAATTTACCTAGGTCACCAGAAAGACGTGTCATAGTCCAATGACATAGGGTAGCTTTGGTTAGGTAGGTAAAATGCGCATGCTATAGCACTATGCGCGCGCGGCGGGAGGAGAGCAGTCCGACCAGCGAGGCCACAGGGCCGCTGACAGATACCACCCCAGATAGGTTCAAATAGCTGGCGCTTTCACTCTAATAAGTCCTTAGCCTAATTACATCCTTAATTGTTGCTCAAGAGCCGCGGAGAAACAGGGAGATGGTGGGTCTAGGCTAACCAGGAGAAATCATCGACATTGTGAGTGAAGTCGCCAGAACTGGCCTGGTCCATCAGAGGCTGGGGAAGGCCAACGGCACCCCTATTTGCAAAGTCATAAGCTTACCGGTACATAATGCCGTGCAAGAGTTAGACGACAGCCACGCATATGGATTGCATGATAAGTTAGTAGCTACCGCTATCATGTCAGTTGACCAGCATGTAGCGTATCACATATGAACGAATTGATATGAAAGATCATGCATAATATTGACGCACGTCAGTAAAGACCTTGCCGTAGGAAGCTGTGAATCAACACACATAGCTCCCTTTACGTGCACGATCTTATCTCTGTAGCCCCCCTCCCTTCATCTCTTATTTATATAGGAACCCGGAGCTTTATTTAGAAACAGTCTGCCACTTATCTAAGAGCGTGTACTCCAGTTTGTTCGCCCTTCGTAACGCAACATGAAGTCTCCTACTATCATGGCTCTCATTGGCGGTCTCGCAGCCGCTGTCCTGGCTGTACCCGTCGGTCCCGGGCGCCCCCTCAACGAAAGCCCTGGCTACTATTCGTCTTCCAGTAGAAAACCTTAAAAACAATATACTTTGCACAATCTGCCAGAGGATTAGTATGTTCCAGGAGCACGAGCGGCCCGCCGGCCACGATGCCTCGTCCGACACAATATCCAAGAGCGGCTCCAGCGTACCCTTTTTCCACAAAGCAGAACCCGTCGCGCCGAAGCATAGGGCAGTGTCCTCCAAGCATCAGAGCATTTCCTCACCTGGGAAGCAGCGTCGCGGGATTGCAGACCCTCTTGAGGAGGTAGTCTGCGACAAGTTTTGGCATTTGCCCACCAGGAGAGAAGAGATAGGCCCGCGGTCTGGAGCTGGCATGGTCATGGCTGATTGTCGGGGTCGCGTAAAGGGTTTCGGGCATTCAGCAAGGGTATCCTGCACGATCATCACAGAAATCTCTCAAGTAGAAGGGGGTGGAAGCAGTGCGTGTTATAGTGAAGGGAGCCAAGCAACGCAGGCGGTGGGGAAGCCCGTATACTTTACACAGAACTCAGGGAGCTATTTATAACCTTGAGCTATGTTGCTACCTTTTATTTATTTTTACTGTGATTAGTGTGGGACTGTACGCGTAAAAGGTTCGGTAGTAGATTATAGTTAAAAATCCATCGAAAAATATATTTATTTCAAGATCTTCGAAAAGATTCGAAGAAGAGATGTGTTTGGTGTGCAAGACTAAAGTAAAGTCCTTAGAGATGAGTATGCAGCGGGCAGCAAGTACTCTAGCTAGTGAAGTTGTAGGATTATTAACAATTAGCCTACACAAATAAAAAATAATGTTATCATATAGAGAGAAAGCTTGTTCTGGTGTACAATACACATGCAATTGGCTAGACTGGTTGGTATCCTACGAAGGCTTTCGACTTTACATGCATCAGATACAGTGGCACACTGCAAAGCCAAACCCAGAAGAATATCTTTGTAACCAAGAGGTGAAGAAAAAGAGCTGAAGAGAAATAGCTGAAGATAACTCGCAGAAAATCATGCATTGGGCGAGACTAAGCCGATGCTGGGTAATGTGCCTGTTCAGTGAGGAGAATGACCATTACGATGTGTATGGTGATGATGCGAAGTAGACCCGCGCTTGATGATCGCAGCAGACGACTCTTCAGGCCTTTGTGACTACAGAATTTGTCATGTTAGTAGGGAGGTATAGGCATTGTTAAGAGGATTTAAAGAAGAATAGTCCCAGAAAACTCACTGCAAATAGAGAGGGGGTCGGGATTCCGGACGAGGCAGAGGGAAGGGCAATCGATGAGGCCGGCGAGACTGCTGCTGGCCTTTGACAGCTCCCGGACACGAATAGCGGGTTATAGTCCTTGGAGACGGGCTGCTCGCGATACTGTTAGCATTCCTGCCCCGAGGTGGAGTAAAGCCAGGCTTGACACGTAGACAGTGTGGCACATTGAGCTGCACAGGCAGAGGCATTGGTCACTTGCCGAGAGACTGCAACCGCTCCATGACTAAAAAATGAAATATTATCCTCAATGACGGAACGAGTGCAAGGAGCTCGCGGCTGTGGTGAGACCGAAGCACTGGCTCCAAGAGCTAGTAGTGTAGCAAGGCCTGTGGCACGAAAAATCATGGTTAGGAATAAAAGTGAAGAAGAGAACCTCGACAGAGAGGGGCCGGTTGAAAGACGCCTAATAAGTGATGAAAGCTCTGGCAGTAAAGAAAGGGGCTGACATGTGCAGCAAATATCTGCCATAGACATGTTCAATTTGATTCCCGACTTCGGCTATCCATAAATTTCACCACTAGTATTACTAGTATGTACAGTAATTGGGACTAGGCACTAACTTTAGTGTCACAAAAGAAGAGTACCAAAGGCTCAAGCGAAGTCCAGGAACCGAGCACGCCAGGAACGGTGTCACAGATCGCCACTCGTGGCGGAAACATCGGCAACATCCGCCGTTGTGCAGGGGCCGGAAATTGTCCGGTTCCGCCCCACCCTTCATGAGAGCGGGGCGGAAACAAGTCCCTTTTTTTTTTCCAATACTGTCAATTAGTATTTCTTGGCTTTATCTTGGCTTGCAGGCCCTTTTTAAGAGCCAAGGCAGCAGCATCTGAACTGTTCTTCTACCTTTATCATCGGCTTTGTACCGTCAATTATACCCGAATTGCTCTTTTTCATCCCTAAAATATGGACCCCTTCAGCACCCTACCTCATGAGCTCCTATCTTCAATCAGCGAGGACGCTGCTGATTGGGTTGGGCTTGACAGCCTGATCCGAGTTTCGCCACGCATCGCCGCACTATTCCACCCCGAGGGAGGTTCGAATCAAGCTCACTCCGATGCCATCTACCTCGTTGAGAACATCTTACGGACAAACCCCATGATGAGCCATCAACTGCACCGGTTCTTCCGGATGTGTGGGGATCTCCAGAGCTTGCCCTTTTCCTCCGGATGCAATCTGACCTTAGCCGAGTTTATGGCGCAGGGTTACTCCTCACCTCTGAGCCCCACTTCTGTGACCGGCACTGTGCTGCGGGGCATGGTCTGGGTTGCAGCCAACATCCAGCGACTGGCCTGCGCCTGCTTAACCACCTTTCTGGCACGCACCCGAGCGGTGCAACCAATAGGCTACGGAAGGGATGCGGCCCGGAGGCTAAAGGGGGAAGAGCCATACCCACCGCGAGAGGCCGGTCCTCCATCGTGGGCGGAAGAGTACCGTGTTTACCGAGCCTTGTGGCATCTACAGCTGTATTCGGATGTTTGGAAAGTCGTCCCTCAGATAGGCTGGTCTCTCAGCGAGCTCCATCTCTATCTACGAGTCTCGGACTTTGATATCCCTTCCGAAAGGCCTGAACGCGGGCCAACGCAAGACGGAGAACCCACCGGGGATGAAATGCGGGCTGTGTCGGAGTGTCTGCAGGATATCTGTCCCCATCCAAACCTATCGGAACCCCTGAGTGCCAACCTCGATAGCTTCTACCTACGATTTTGGCTGGAGCTGCCCGATGCATTGTCTCTCAGGCGCCAGGATCCCCAAGGTAGCGATGATTCTCAAGCCATTGCTTTCCGCAGCTTCGGGGTTTGGTGTCCCCCACCTCTCCCGTCTCCCGAGGAGGATACGTGCAAGCCTGTTTTGGGGCAATGGGGCAACACTATCTGTGCTGTGCAAGAACGAAATATTGGTAATCTATGGATGATGCTACCGACATATGAGGCATATGAACGTCCGGCTATGTTCCAAACAGGCTCTCTTCTAGATCCTCGACCACTACTCGGACTAGGCTTGGTTTTCTGGGACCGATGGAGGCTCTACAACTTAGGTCTTTGGTCAGCAAGCCCTAGTAATGGGCAAACCAGAAAGAATTGTCCTATTGTTGCGGGTCCTGACGGGGGCCAGGTCCCGGTCGACTATATGCCAAGACTGAAAGATGGAAGAGAAAGGAATTATCGGTGGTCCGAATTTGCTGCAGCGCGCTTGGCGCAGGAGGAACAGGAGGCAAAGAGTAGTCTGGCGGCTTGATGACATTAGTCCGTCTGCAAAGCCGTGCCATGTCTTAGTGAATGGATTGTTAAATAGCAGTCAGGAAACAGAAAGCTATAGAGTTAAACTCATGTGCGTCCAGGCTGATGAACATTTCACTTCACCGTTACAGATAACAGGGTAGTATTCCTATCTTCGGTTTTGCCCCCAGCTCACCCACGCAGAGCTGCGAGATTCTTCAACTGGAAACTCATATGATACCAATCCTCATTTTTGGGATGACCTGTTGTTCTCCAAACTGTAACCTGGACTGGTCTTTTAGTTTTCCTCCCATCCATGAATTGTTGCTTGTGGTTGATTAGGAGCCAACCGATTCCGCCGCCATTCGGAGTACCAAGCAGCGCAAGCCCTTCCCGGTTGATATACTCTGCTGACTTGGATTGATTATTGCTGATCTTGAAGGTAGTGCCGGGCCAGACAGGAGGAGGCCCCCCGCACAATTCGTGGATAATTGCTCTGGTATCATCGCCTGCAAATACGGATATTGTCCGGTGGGAGCCTGTTACTGTACTATGGTCGGGGAGCAAAGAACCTTGCCTAATGCTACCGGTATTACAGGCTATCCGGCCGAAGGAGAAGATGCCAACTACAGTGGACTGTGCAGCTTTACATGCAACTATGGATATTGCCCTGAGGGTGCATGTGCTACAGTCAGCTCGCCATTGACAATTCCTAGCAGCTCCCCCTTCACTCCTTCCGCCTGCGTGGCCGGAACAGGCGAAGGGAACCTCGGAGGATTGTGTTCATACGCCTGCAACTTCGGTTACTGTCCGATTCATTCATGTACGTGTACGGCAGAAGGGGTGTTGATCGACGCGCCGGCAGCCAACTCCAGTCTTACAGGGGTCCCGGTGTCCACTGTCGACTACAACCAGTATCACGGTTTGTGCGACTTTGCGTGCAGTCGAGGGTACTGTCCGGATGGTGCCTGTGAGCTACGGTCCACACTGGACCCTTCCACTGGTTCGACCGGACATGACTCCTCCAGCTCGTCCTCAACTTCTAATATCTCTAACGACACAATCGCTTTTGTTGGGTCAGGCGTCTGGGAAGATCCCTTCGCCGACTGTCCCTTTCCATGCACGATTATATTCCCCGAAACGACACTGGGAAGTCCAACAATCATTTATCCTCCCCCATACACCACGACATTGCAGGTGGAATGGCAGGACAGCAGTGTGACGACGCAGACGGACGGTGAGGTATCAACCGTGGCGACAACGACCCGTGTCGCGGAATCGACTACGGTTGACATACCACCGAGTAAGTAAATCCAATTCGAAGGTTGAGCACAGCCCAACTAACGCTGTGATGTCTGAATCAAGTCCAAGTAACCGGCTGGGGATTCTGGCCTGTGGTGGTCAACGGACCTACTGACAGTCACATTACCGTTCATCCCACGCCTCGTCTTCCCCCAAGTACCGTGATTATCGCGGATGACCCTAACCCTCTGGGTCAAAGTTCTGTGACGCATGCTCCCCGGCCGCGTACAGTCATCATTCCACCTTACCCCTGGGATACCAGGCCCTATGGCAAGGACGGCAGCGACGACAACCTCATTGTTCCTAAGCCCCCCGCCATCACCGTTGCCGATGGTCCCGTGAGCCCCAAGTGCACGAATGACTGTGGAAAGCTGTGCAGCGATCGCTTTTGCGGCTGTACGTGGGCCTGTAGGGGAACCGGGTTCACCTACAGCGACGTTGACACCGACGACGACAACAATGGCGGCAGCAAGACCGACGACGGAAGCTCCAGTCCAGGCAAAGGGTCCAACAGTAATGACAATCCAGATGGAGATGACGATGACGACGACGACGATGACGGCGGAATCGATTTTGGCTGGGGCGGCATCGACATCAACGGCAACTCGCCGGACCCCAATGCCAACAATGAAGACTCGAATAAGAGTCAGACCTCCAAGACCACCTCCACCTCTACCTGCACCCGCAAGACAATAACCGACGCTTGGGTCTCGTGCACATCGCTTGACTCCAGCTCGACCTCCTGCACCACCACCAGCACCCTCGTTGAGGTCGGCTGCTCCGTTACGGCCACTACTACGACCACGACCGCCACCGGCGAAAGCTGCCCGTTTGTCAACCCCAGCGATGACCAGGGTAGTGACGGTGGGGCCCTGGCCGACAGCGCCTGGTCCAGCATTGCGGGCCAATCCTCGGGGTGGTACACGTATCTGGGGTACACCGCGGATCCTGCCAAAACCGCCACGACAACCACGGCGCGTAAAACCAGCACTAGCACCACAACTACAGCCACAGCAACCGCAGCCGGCTCAACCTCCACCAATACCAAGCTTCCAACCTACGGTGACAAGTCCGCCTGGGCTCTGTTCCTCCGCGAGGAGGTGGGAAACAACAAACACACCTACATCTACCAGGGTCTGGATTACGAGTACGTCGGTCTCGCCCAGAGCAACTGCCCGCGCGACACCACGTGGTCCCGCAGCGTGATGACTGGCACCAGGAAGCCCACCAGTCTGACCGGAATCACGGTGTTTGGCGATACGTGCTCGCTCACGGCTGACTATGCGAATGTCGACCCCACAAAGGACCAGAAAGTCGGGACGCTCTCGTGCAACAAATACGCCGACGCGACCTGCAAGTATGAAGAGACGAGTGGGACGTGTGAGACGGGCCAGATTACGGGGACGCATATCTTGTCCTGTTACTGGTGAAAAGCAGCCTGCCTCTTCTGAGGAATGGTGTAGGGTAGATCCACGAGGGTTGGAAACGGAAGCAATCTCTCGTTTTCCTTTTCACAAGCAATGCATTGAAGTTATATAGCACAGTCTAGTCTTCATATAATAGTATTCAAAAGTCTGATAGATATCATGTTGCGGATATGTAATACTTCTTATCCCTCGGGCATAACGATAAAGGTCGAAGTTTTGATACGCTTTCACAGCTGGTAATTATTTTAGTAATATCCATTATACTGCTACTTTGCAAGGTTGCTGATGTCTGAATTATATGCTAACGTATAGAAAAAGACGATAAATGATGATTTGGATAAGTCTTGACACGGTATTAGTTAGGCAAGTTAGCCAGAAGACTCAGGAGTAGGGGCTTAGGGTTCCATCAACCTCATGACTTTCCTTGGGCTTGCGGGGTACTTTTACAGAGATAACCTTCCCCCGCCGGTGCATCTACCAAAGCGAATCCGACCGGGCACAGTTCATGGGTCGATTTCTCTACCGAAAGTTATAAGTTATAATTGAGTTGTACCATTTTATCTCCACTCAATCAAGACTGTCAATATCTCTGAAATGATCATACTTCGTAACCTATTTATCAGCAACAGTTGAGTTAATGAAGCCTTTGTGTAGAAGGCTCAGATTCCACTATTTGCCGGGTTAGAGCCTTGTCAAGTGGTACTGTTCATCCTTTGATATTTTCAGTCACAGAAGCAACCAACCCGAGGGCGAAAACATCATGTCGGGGAATTTGCGTTGAACGGTGCCGCCAAATGACGAGGCAGTCCCCTCGCTGTACAAGTGTCTCCTCGCCACCGTGAAAGCGTCACAATCTTCACCCTCCCGAGTGTCTAGGGCTAATCAACTGCGATGAGCATTTTGTAGTCCGTCTGAGAGGGTGAGGAATGATCCATTCCTGACTGTCATTAACATGGTGCTGCTTCGAGGCCTGAGGGGCTTTGGGACTGAAAGAGGGTATTCTGCACGGTTATGCAGTTTCCATCTCTCTATGTCTTCTAGGCGTGTTGTCAACTACTGTGTTCAATATATTGTTACTCTTGAAGCTGTTGTATATATACAGGTTTCGAAAGCGTCCCCTGCCCCACAGGGAGGGAATGCAGTGCGGTCCCTCGGTAGGACAGACATGAACCGGTATCCAAGAACTGAAGCCCGAGAGTATCAAGGCTTGTGTTTACCAGAGCCTCCAGCATCATCGCATATCTATGAGTTATTACCACTTGACCCCTCTCCATTGTCCCGATTGGGGTACTTCAGGTGGTATATAGCCGGCATACGAATCTGCGCAATGAGATCCTCGAATTCGTCCAGAGCGGCCATCACACGATCGTGGTTTTGCAGGTTGCGCCCTGCGTTATGTGCTTCAATGTAGAGAGCCCTCCCCAGCCGGATCGCTTCTCGCGCCCACCTACGTACAAGGGTCACGGAATATGAGGCATGGTCGATCGTTCACTCACTGCATCAATTCTGTAAGTTGTGCGTTCGCGTCGTCTCTTCGATGTAGCCCAGTTGCAGGTAGACTTGCTGGATCACATCGTTGTAGCGTATCTCGAAGTCGCTGTTGCGGATGTACTCCAAGGCCGCGAACGCCTAGCCAGCATGATCAGTCTTTTCCGGTACAACTGGATTTCCGATGCCACGTACCGTCTGAAATTCGGAGAGTAACTCGTCAACTGCTGCATCGGTGTCTGCCTTAACAGCATCCTTCGCTAATCTGGAGATCTTAGGCAACTGCACTGGGTCTTTGTGCTCGAATATCCTCCCCTGTGTGTACAGGTTAGTCTCGAAAGGTATTGCAATGAGCAGGCGATTCGCATACCTTGGCTATATTCACAGCATCCTCGGAAGCTAGAAAGGGGAAGGGATTGTGATTCGATCCAAAGGCTTCGGCAATACGCTCACTGGGTGTATCTGGCCGCTTTCCCAGTGTCTGATTTCTACCCACCGGGGGCTTTTTGCCCAATTCAGTGTTGGCCTCGTTCCACACCTTCTGCCAGAATGCAAGATCAATTGGCTTGAGAAGCGGCCTTCTTGACGTCGGCAGTACACCGTTACCCGCGGCCTCCATCCATTTCCCTATAAGACTCTTATCCAGGGGATGCTCAGTGTTAAGCCTTGCATACTCCTCCTTGCTCGGCTTGGATTTGAAGTCCGTTACATCGAGCGTACTTCCCGCACAATAGCCGTGTCGGGTCCGGAAGGCTCTCATGAGGACTTGAGCTGCTCCTTTAATGCTGAACAGCTCTCCGATGGTGGGATAGCCCGCAATAACATACTTGATAATCAGTCCATCGATGGTCGCCTTTGCAAACTTTTTGCCAACCTTACGTTTCTGGAGGCTGTGTTCTTCGCCCTCCTCGAAGCTTCGTTTCCAGAAGTCACTGGCACTCGCTCCGCAGTATTCGCTGTCCTTGTCGCACAGGTCGATGGTGCACATAGCCTTGCGGGTGGGTGCCTTCTTCACGGAGCAGCATGCAGCCCGGCTACGACCCCATTCACAGGAGTGCGAGCTGTCGCACATCGTAGCGAGATCGACCTGTAACTCCGTGGCATTGCACCGGGCGTTCGCGCAATCGGTGCCGCCACTACCCCCCACTCAGTGGCAGCCAGCGAGCTGGGCCGGGTCCGGGCAGCAGTACTTTTGTCCTTGGCCCAACAATCATCAAACTTGGTCAGAAGTGCGGTTTTGCCACTGGGACAGTTCTTCCCGCTGCACTCACTTGGAGTCAGTAGATATTACCATCAGAAAAGGAAGAAATGGGGATAACCCCAGAACTGACCATGCTGCGTAAGAACATCCTCTGGTCACTTGCCTGTAATCGGGGTCTGGACAGCAGAACGCCTTGTACCCTCGACCGCATTTGTTGGTATCACCGTCGTTGGTGAAGCCCCCGCCCCACGAGGAACGAATACCATTGATATTCATCTCCCCAGCCTCGCATTGCCCGCTGCAGTCGGATCGGGCTCCGCCCTGGCCGGTCTTCTGGCCACGCCACTTGCAATTCTTGGGCGCCGCATTCGACGGGCAGCAGATGGGCTTTCCGCAGTGGCAGCTCTTCCTACCACACCCAGCGTCATCCCAGCCGACGACCGTGTTGCCGCTGCCGCACGCGTTGGCCATGGCCGCGTCGTCATTTAGATTGACGCATTTGCCGGAATGCCGGAAGCACTTCTGTCCGTTGAACCCAGCCAGGTCTGTGATCACGGACTTGGGGTTGGACTCCGCTTTATTGATCTCCTGCAGGGTTGCGGTAGAGATGATGCTGCGGCCTAGAAGACCCGAGTGGGCCGAGTATCTATCATCATCTAGCACTCATCGTCAGTGCTGCAGCGGGGAAGTGGGGTGGCGAGGGAGAGGAGATAGCTACCGAGATCGGATGCCCAGATCATCGCGCCTCCCAGCCCTACATCGTTGGCCCAGTTGACCTTTTGCCTGAAGGTTATGTGGTCATCATAAGAGACCCACTGATTGTCATTGAAAGTAAAGTAATTGACAGCCGCTTTCTTGTCATGCGTCGGACTGATAGTGGCTCGCTTTGGCGAGGCAGATGTACCCTGTAGCATACTCATGATTTCGTAGTAGGCAAGCATGCCACCAGTATCTGAGCAGGGTCCTGCGTCTGAGGCGCCGCTGAAGGGACATCCGGGTGTCGTACAACTGAGGTCTGCTAATGTGAAAGAACGGCCGTAGAACCCAAAGCCCAAGACAAGCATACCAGGGGGTACATCGACCCTCCAGAAGAGCTCTACCGCCGTTTTGATCTCGGTTAGATTGGTATGGCCTTGGACAATGCTACTAATGGGATTGGAGGCATCCCACACCCCATGGAGATCGTACGTCATTACGTTGATCCAATCCACATACTTGATCATTTTCGGTAGATCAAACCACCTGAGATACCAGTACGAGGAGGGCGCAGTAAATGTCAGCCCAAACGTGCTTCCACTGGAGTCGAAGGTCTGTCTTAATGTTTCCAGCAATAAAGCATAATTCTCGGTATCCTCCGGCTTGCCGCCTCGGTCGCCGGCCCCGGGATATTCCCAATCGAGGTCCACGCCGTCAAACCCTAGGCCATCAGAATCAGTGAAGTCTAAGTTTGGGCTGGACATGAATTGTGCAAGATGGAGGAGTCATAGAGCGTACCGTACTGCCGCATGAATTGGACCACGTTCTTGGCGAAGGTCTGCCGCTTGGTCGCATCGCCGGCGATTTCTTCAAACAACGATTGCGTCTTGGTGTTGTTATCTGTTGTTATCGGAGAACGACCAGCCACCAATGCTGACGAAGACACTGATATCTTGCTTGATGGACTTGATGTTGGTCGTATCCTTGAAGAGGCTGGAGGGGGTTGCCGAGTCCATTGCGACCACCTGGTACGACGACGCATCGATTGAGGCAAAGGCAAAGTTCACGCTGTTCAGAGTACAGGATAAGTCATGTGTCATATGCTCTGAGGACCAAGTCTGCCCCTGTTGCAAAAACAGAGCTGCACTCACTGTGTCAGGGCATCTAGCGGCAAGTTGGTCGGATCGATCCGGTGGCAGCTCTTACGAGCCATCCACGCCTCGTAGTACCCGATAACCCTGTTCTTGAGAACGCTGATCTGAGATTTGCCGGCTGGGGGTCTGGGGCTCAAGACACGGTTACTTTGACATCCTGTCCCACAGAAGTCTTTAGTCGTCCCACAGAACCCCCACACACTGCAGCAGGTGTTGAGCGGGCAGGTCTGCCCCGGTGTCTTTGCATACTGTCCGCACTCCGCGGCTGCGTTGCATTGGAGTGGGTCGTTAGCGGCTTCGCTACTCTTCTTGGTCTTCTTAGTCCTGCCGATTTTCTTCCCATGACCTGGTTAGGGCTGGCGGGATCGTTCGATCTGCATGTATATAAAGGAAGCACCGCAGCCCCCTTTCCCTAGATTTGTTCTCCCCACTTCACCTACTCCGCGCTCAGGTCACCCAATTTACCATGTACTGAATGCTTTGCTCAACATTTAGGATGCCCCTCAACAAAATATTTCAATTCAGGCCGTCGTACAACCAGCCAAGGCATTCTACCACTTTCCGCGCCGCTACCCGCTTCCCCCTCAACACCGCCCAATCCTCACTTCCCGCAACCTCATCAATTTCCGCTTCCCGTACTGCCGTTTGTTTCCCAACCGCAATGAGCGGTCCGGCGCAGATAATCGAAAGTAATAGACCGTTGCGCCCATCAAGACGCATTCTCACCATGGAAGGAATACTCCCAGAACAACGCAGACCGCCTGGAAGATGAGCTGCGAGGCGACGGATTCACGATCTGGGGATTTGTCATCTACCGGTGTACTTATGGAAGCGATGCCGGCTGGGAAAGGTTTATGAGTCGGTTACTGTTTCATATCCCGGAGAAGCTGAAGCCCTTTGGTGGTCTTGATCTTCTGGACACATTTCGGCCCACAGTTCTACAAGACCCGTCCTTTGACGGCGCGAGCCCGGCATACCTCCGAGAGCATTTCGAAAAGTGGGCGGCAGCAGCAGCCCGCGAGGAGCATGGGATGACACTCGAGAATGCGCGTATACGAACAACATCCCGATATCGCTTTTTCATCCAAGTGCACCAAGAGGCCTTGGAGTCCGTCCTGAGCGCGCCGGACCCGACAGATCCGGAGAGCTCCCTGAACAAGACTGGGTTTGTGCGCCTGGTTAACAGCGAGTGGGACCCAGAGGAGCAGAATTCAGCGGACGACACCGACTACCCACCGATGGAAGGGTGCACTTTGCCTAACGTCGGATGGATGAATCTACTATACGACGATGCGGAACTGAACGCCTTCTATGAGCTGAATAACTTCCACTGGGATGATTATTACAAGCATCCCCCGGCAATCATTGACCTTGCATCTTTCGGGCGAGTGTGTGGGAAGACGAGGGATGGGGAGGGGGAGACGAGAGGTTGACGATGTGTCGAAAGTATCTATGCACTCATTCATAGGTTCCATGAAGTGAGTCTGAGCACGACTTTGCTGTTACTGGTGTCATTGGCGGTGTACTGTACCAGTTCCTGTACCCAGTAGAATACCTGATCTAGGCCCGAGAGTCGGCTCAGGGTCTTTCCCACCCGATTAAAAATGGTCAAGCTGAGAGTTTCGTCGTAACTCTCTTGTCATTAGCTGGCGGGCCCTCGAAATCGACGGCTCGGTTTTTGTGCACCGCTACTCGCACACTTCTTGTCTTACCGTCTGCTACAAAGGTTGAAATTATTCTATTGGCCCGCAGATCTTGACCCTTCGTTGTTTTACATCATTTAGAACCAAGACACAGAAACTATTCCTGGCATTGTAGATTATGTCTTCGACGCACTCAACGACCCTAGAACTGACTGACCCATGATCAGCGTTGACGCTTGCGCTTGCCGGGCTGTGTTTCAGGTGGCTATCAAGTTCACTTGAAGTGTATCGGATCTGCCCCTGGATTGTCTGCCTTTGTGGCTTCCCTTTCGATTGGCCAGACTCTGAATTTAGAAGTTTGCTAATAGGTAGCATGATAGACATGCGGCCGCTTCAAGTCAAACGTATACAGCACCGACTCACAATTCCCACTGCCTGACATGTCTCCCCTCGCCTTGCATACAAGGCTCGTTCTCTATTCCTCCATCGGATGGATACCTTCCGTCCTACCGTAGTAGGGGCTCCGTCGTTCGAGGGTGCGACCGCCACCAGCCTGCGCCCACGATTCCGACAATGGGCACAGCGGCCACCCAAGGGAGAGCACGGATGGGGCCTCGAACGGACCCTCCAGCAATTGCCGTGCCGGTACCGGTGATGTATCCAGGTTACCCCGGCGGCGTGGGAGTCGGTATCAAAGGCGCCCGCCCCGTGGGACCCGGAGGAAACCAGATTCGAGCTCGAGCGCCAGATCGGGGGCGAGACCGGGTACCTCTGTATCGTCAATACTCACTGGATCCCGAGGAGTATGACGAGCCCCAGGACCGAGACGAGCCGCCGATTGAAGGGTGTACCCTGCGGGAGATCGAGTTGTATAATTTACTCTACGACCAGGCGCAGTTGCCTGGTTTCTGGTTTCTGCATGACTCGCCTAGGCATTGACGACTAATACGAGCGGCCCCCGGCCTTCGTGCATGTTGCATGTTCCGCGTTGGCGTGGGGACGTATTAAGGATGGGTGGGGGAAGGTGAAAGAAAAGAGAGCTGAGAAGTGTAGGTCGAGGCGCTCGAGCGTTCTCTTCACTTCAGCCTGACATGGATAGGACCTTGGTCAACTCGCACTCTGACTTCTTGCACTCAGTTGACCCATTGATGCCATTGGATGTATTGTAAAGATCCGCCTGCGGAAAGATTTATGGGCTGAAATCATGTGCGGATAGGGAGCCACAAATAACACTATACCCGAGTCCCGACGACCATCAGTCGAAGAAGAGATGTTCTAAATTCAGTAAAAGCCCACACCTGCCCAGTGCCGGCATTCATCTGCAGGAATATCTGCACCTTAGTCGTTCCAGTTGGTCGCCGGCGGCCAGACTCCGCTCCCGAGTGAAGGGGAGTGGGGCCGTATCGAGCAAACACATGGCGATCTGATTGGGGCGTCCATACGAGCGGACCAATCAGACAAAGTCTCGTATACCCAGCCCTAGGAGGTAAACTTCAAGGTTCACGATCACAACAACTCGGCTTTTGTTCATCAGGCAGCAAGACGAGGAAGGGTTCCTACTTAAAGTGATTACATGGCTGCTAGCGGTAGTTCTCCTACTTCTTTATCTCTATCTCCGACAACCACCGCCACCATGACGCAGTGCAAAGGTAGATTATCCACATTCTATTCGCTGTAAAGGAATTCAATACCTAACAATTCATTAGCTTTAACAACACCAGACACGATGTGGACCTTCTGTCCCTCCATCGGCGCTGCGTACTTGTTTACCGTGCTCTTCGCCCTGACGACCCTCGCCCACCTTGCACAGGCGATCCTGCATCGAAAATTCTACAGTTGGGTGATCGTCATGTCCGGTCTCATTCAGACGGTGACCTACATCTTTCGCATCCTCAGCATCCTCCATCCAGCCAGCTACACCGACTACGCGGCGTGGTTTGTGCTGATTCTTATCGCACCCCTCTGGACCAACGCCTTCGTCTACATGGTTATGGGCCGTATGGTGTGGAACTTCACCGACGACGCGCGGGTCTTACGCGTGCGACCCTGGCATTTTGGTCTTTTCTTCGTGGCTCTAGACATAATGTATGGCTTTCTGTATCGGGTTCCAGAAGCCGACACTGACAATGCAACAGTGCATTCATCGTCCAAGTCTACGGAGCCGCCCAAGCAGCCGGCAACAACGTCTCCTACAGCACGGAAATGACGGGCTTACACATATACATGGCCGGGGTCGGCGTGCAGCAGCTCTTCGTCCTCGTGTTCGTGGTCTGTGGCGTGGCCTTCCACCACAAGTTGCTCCAGCAGCGGCGCTCGGACGCGAAAAGGGCATTGCTCTTACTCTATGTGCTCTATGCATGTCTTGCCCTGATTACGGTAAGCATTCCTTCTGTCGTGGTGCAAAGAAAGACGACTGATAAGCAGTAGATGCGGATTATCTTCCGGCTGTGTGAGTATGCGCAGGGCCTCGACAGCGAGATTCCCGCCCATGAGGCGTACCAGTACTGCCTTGACTCTTTGCCGATGCTGTTGGCACTTGTACTGCTCAATGCGGTGCACCCCGGTCGGATTATGCCGGGCAAGGAGAGTGATATGCCGAGTCGGAAGCAGCGTAAGAAGACGGGTGTGACCAGTAAGAAGGAGATGCCGAGTGATGATATGGTTCGTTTTGGAGAGTGCTGAGGGGTGTCGCTTTTGTTGATTAGACGGCGTGTATAATAGATGGACGCGCAGATCTAGCCTCTGTATCTTCTCATGTTCCTCATCTTTGGAGATATTGGAGACTATGTATGTTGATGAATTTGGTATACTTCGACTTGAAATAGATTCATTTACTGTCAGCTTGCTATAAATAAACCAGCCGGCTTCTCCGATCGACTAACCTAAAGCGGTCAAGTTGCGACATGTGACTCAGGTGATTGTTGATAAGATCGCCGGCATCGGTCCACACTTTCATCATCTCACTCGTCAGCTCGATACCAATGAACCGCTTTAGAACCCAACGCACCTACTAGATCGATGCCCCGAGTTGCCCCGGGACAAAGGAAGCGGTCGTATCGTCCCAAGACGCGCACCGGCTGCTTGACCTGCAAGTAAGTGCACCCCACAAGTCAATAAGATCCCTGCTGACCGAACTTAGGAGTGAGTGAGATTGATAATTTTAGATCATACCATTGTCTAGCAATGATTGACTGAAGAAAGCAGAGCGCCGCGTCAAGTGCACCGAAGAGCGCCCGGCGTGTCTGCGCTGTACCTCAACCGGCCGAGTATGCGACGGCTACGAGGCTCCGGCCCTATCGCCCTCGTCTAGCCTCACGACATTACGATCAAACGCATTCACAAGGCCTCTCATTCCCCGGTCGCTCGGTGATGATCTATTCATCTCCGACCGAGAGCGCCGCTCGTTCCAGTTTTTTATAGCCAAGACTGCCCCACAGCTGGCCGGCGACTTCGAATGTGTCTTCTGGGAACGCCTGCTACTGCAGTCTGCGCACCGCGAGCCGGCCATTCGCCATGTCACTGTTGCATTGGGCTCGCTCCATGAGCGCCTGGAGCTTGATGCGGGCACTGTCTACCAAGCCGGCACTCAGATCATGCACGACCCCTTTGCTTTGCGACAGTACCTATGCGCCATGCGTTGTCTGATGCCGGCGCCGGGCGGCTCACAGCCCCTTGACGTCTGCTTAATGTCTTGTATTCTATTCGCCTGCTTCGAGGTACGTGTGTTTCTATATCTCGTATAATAAGACGTGCGTACCAACTATGCTCAAGGCAATGCGCGGCCAATACGGCTCGGCTATCACTCACATCACCAGCGGACTAAAAATCCTTGATGAACTTCGAGCCAATCCATTCGACAGATTCACAACTTTGAGCAAAGGTCGTATGCCGTATGTTCCCATCGACGTGGTGTGTGGCCTCTTTACTCGCCTGCAAGCGCAAATCATTGTGGTACGGTGCTCATCCGCGGCATGAGTAGAAGAATGCGGTTGCTAATCTTAGAGCGCTACAGACCGTCCACCGTATGAGTGCAGCGCGTGCTAACATCTGGCCTGAGCTGGTCATTGAGCTGGACAGACCCATCGTGTTCCACTCTTTAGCCGACGCGCGCGAGACCCTCGAAATCTACACATACTACTACCGGCAGCGCAATATGGGGCTGCAACACGAACGTACGAAGGCGGAGCAACATTTTCCTTTCCCAAGATCTATAGAGCTGGTGAATGCGTTAAGTCACGCGGCAGTTGCTCTGCGTGACGTCTCGATCTCCCTGCTGGATCGCTGGTCTACCGCACTAGACGACTTTCTGCGTGAGCGCAGTGCTCCCTTGACGGACCGCGAGCGGCGCGGTCTCGCAGTGCTCCAGCTACGTAAGATCGACTGCTTGATTTCGCTAGATATCTTCGAGCCTGCGGGTCAGGCCGAGGCAGGCGACAATGTCGACTGGGACAAGTATTGTGCCCTTTTCGCAGAGATGGTTACCCTAGGCGAGTCCATTGTGGGGTTCTTCCCAAATCTTTCTCCATTTCATCCCTCAGACGCGGCCTCCTCTTCTCCTTTACCAATCCCTAAAACCTTTTCGCTCGATCTCGGCATTATCGCAGCCATGTTCAACGTCGCCGTGCGGTGCCGTGACCCTCACATCCGCCGGCGAGCTGTACGGGTGCTTCGTACCTCTGCAGTTCAGGAAGGAGTGTGGAACAGTGCCGTCGTGGCCGCGATCGCGGATAAGTGGATTGAGATTGAAGAGGAGGGTTTAGATATTGTTTCGAGTTGTGCCGATGTGCCTGCTGTCGTACGAGTGTCGGACTTCCTGCCCGTGTTCGATGGCGAGGAACCCACCGCGTTGGTCTATTATAGGCACTCAACTGCGTTCAATGCTGGGGGTGTACGAAAAGAAGTCTTCAGGTGGTAACGACTGCTTGGCTTGGACGACCAGACTCTGAGAGTTTTCTGTGCCTCAAAACCTGTTGCCGTAATATTTGATCCACTTGCGCTTTTGTGATATTTGAAATCCCCTGGTCGCTGAACTTGAGTTCAAAGGAGGCTTCTCGCGGTTTAAGGGTCTGCGGCTTGATTCGTGATCCAGCTTGACAGCCCCGTCCGCAGCAAGCTTTGCCAAACAACAACCCTGAAACTGACACACTCATACAAAGTTTCTACAAACTCCAGCAACGAAGTCAAATCTTCCACCGTGCGCCTCCCCTACTATCCTGACAGGCCACAATGCAATGATTCTGTCATGACGCAACCCTTGCCACCCAGCTATATTATATGCTCACCACCGCGATATCGAGGAACCCGAACCGACTCTCCCCCTCATTGCTACAGTATAACCCTCAACTTCTTGCTTGCCATCCCACCAAATCCTCCAAAATCTCGTCGAAGGTCTGCGCCCACAATGCCAGATCCAAACGACCAAGCCTTTTTCTACATGCGCTGGAACGACTCCGAACACCCACTCAATGCCAACGACGATCAAGAATCCCGGATGCTTGCCGCAAAGTTCCATGGAGATACCCCTGTAGACGAGGAGCGTACCTCACCGCAACGATCTGAAATCGATCCTGGAATCACGGCAGGGAGGGCATCCCCCATCCCGACTACGATGCCGCATTCTCACGGGCAGGATCACGTGTACATCACATACTGGCACAATTGGCCGGATGATGGCTAAAAGGCCATTCAAGCGTACGATAGTCTTTGGGCCTGTGTTGGGGATGGGAGGGAGAAATACTCAAGAGGAAAGCGAATGGTGCAGTTCGCAGGGCGGATACAGTACATCGTGGCAGGATGTTGTGTGTATCGCATCTGTCTTTGTTTCGCGTTCCATCTTCTCGTGCCAGGGGATTCTGCAAATAGACTGTGACTGGTAAAGCAGAGGTGCACGTCGTGCGCATAAAGATCACCAACAGAAGAAGGGGATAAAAGTCATGAACAGCAGTTATGATATGATGGTACAAGAGTCAGCGACAGTTACCTGGCGGGACACCTTGTCCTATGTAGTTTCTTCCTAGAGGGCGTATAGATGAGATACGGCATCGTGTTGCGTAGTCACGCTTGACCTTTCTCTACTGGCCATCACGCTCATGCACATATCTGGCGTGGACTGATTGGCACATCGGCAAAAGAGTCTAGTTAAACCTGCCGTCGTGCTCTCAATCTTGCTCAATTGAAAGCACCAAAAGATTTCACAATCTGCGATGACATGCATGCCAAGTATATTCATGATGGTCCTATTGACAAACAAAGCTCCCATGAGATTCTTTCAAGTCGTTAGTCTTCGAAGGCTTAACTTTTATCGCCAGAGTGAAGGCTCTTTCTGCTATCTGATCCTTTCCTTTTCTTGATTGATTCTTGCACTTCGGTGAAGACTGAAGACTAGAGGTAGTTGACATAGCTTCAAAGACCAAAGCAAAGACATCGTTTGGCCTCTATGTTTAAGGATCAATGAGCTGACCGTTGAACGACCTAGTGTTATTGTTTAAGCCCAGCATTGAAGTTTCAGCTTCGACAATAACCTTCTATATGAAGTATTCTTTGAGCAGTGCGCGGGCAACGGTAAGTTGTTCAAAATTGATCTTTATGGAACTCTGAACAAGATGCTTGGCTTCAAATGTAGCTTTGTGGCATGCACCAGACAGCTATCGTAGGATCAGGACATCCGATGTCTTTGTTCACACAATAGCATTGTCCATAGCATAGCATTGCTACCCACAATGGCAGTATCTCTGGGGAATTTCTTTGTTGCATTGCGCACATGGATCGGCTGTGAAGGACCGAGCGACGAAAGCTCACTTGTATGCTCACGATCTCGAGGGATAAAAAGACCTGCTTCTTCCTACCTTCCTAAGCTCCCTACTCCTCCATCACCTCTCTCAATCCTTTCCTCTCAAGCACCTTCTCATATACCCAATCCAGCAGTCCTTCGTTATCACCATCGAACGACTGTTACCATCACCATAAATACTATCAACATGTCTGGCCTCTTGAAGAAGATTCAGACCCACTTGGTGAAGTCAAATCCGGAAGGGTATGAGAAGGTTCTGCAGGCGCTTCTCCCGAACTATGGATCGCTTTTGTCTATTGTAACCAAGCACTTTGGACTGAATCCCCCCACTTATCTCCCCTATGTCACTTTCGCCGTGATTCTCTCCTGCGTTGCCCAGCGCATTTCCCGATACATCTGGAAAGCGCTCCTCCACCTCTTCACCACCACTGTGGAGATCAGTCCCTCTGACTGGGGGTACGACTACTACCTGTTCTGGATGGCACGCCACAAGTCGCTCAACAAGGCCAGCGCGTTCGTCATCCAGACCGCCGGGCGCTACGACGACATCACCTGCATCCCCGACGAGGACTCGCAAGACCAGGATATCTGCGAGCACGACGATTGGCGCAAGACGATCGCCCTGATCCGCACGCGCCGCATGCGCTACAACCCGTGCGCCGGGTCGTACTACTACCTGTACCAGGGCCGGCTGGTGAAGATCCAACGCATCGCTGCCCGCGACAGGCGGTACGAGGATATCCTGCGGGTGACGACCTTTGGCGGAAACGCCTCGTTTCACAAGCAGATGAGCTACGAGGCGCAGAAGGCGTACAAGGATCACGTCAGCCAGTTCACTCTGATCCTGGAGAGCATGATGCAGGACGGTAAGTCGTGGTGGGCGTGGTGCATGAAGCGGACCCCGCGCGCGATATCCTCGGTCATCCTGGACGCCGGGGTGAAACAGGCCTTCCTCGAGGATGTCCAGGAGTACCTGGACCCCAAGACCCAGCCCTGGTACAACAGCCGGGGCATCCCCTACCGCCGGGGCTATCTGCTGCATGGGCCCCCTGGCACGGGCAAGTCGAGTCTGTGCTTCGCTATCGCCGGTCACCTGGGCCTGGACCTGTACCTGCTGCACCTGTCGCAGAAGGAGCTCACGGACAACCAGCTGGCCCGGCTCTTCCGCAGCCTGCCATTCCGGTGCATCGTCCTCATCGAGGACGTGGACTGCGTGACGGTCGCGCAGGAGCGCGCAGACGACGGCAGCGGCGGTGCCGGTGGCAAGGACGCATCGACGACGACCGGGGTCACTCTCTCGGGCCTGCTCAACGCCATCGACGGCGTCAGTGCCGGCGAGGGCCGCATCCTGATCATGACCACCAACCATGTTGAGAAGCTGGATGCCGCACTCCGCCGCCACGGCCGCGTGGACATGACCATCGCCTACGGGTATGCCCAGACCCCCGAGGTCGCGAGCCTCTTCAAGTCGATTTACGCCTCCACGGACATGGACACCCCGAGCTTCGCGCCGTCAGTCACGCCAGATTCGCCGTCGCTTGACGCCCTGGCGAGCGAGTTCGCGACGCTGGTGCCCTCCGGCGAGTTCAGTGGCGCCGAAATTCAGGGATATCTGCTGGCCCACAAGAAGAGCCCGCAGTTCGCCATCCAGGGGGTCCCAGAGTGGCTGGAGAAAACAGAGGAGGTACGCAAGGGACGCAGGCCAGGCAAGGATGAGACGACGACCGAGAAGAAGGAGGAGGAGGAGGCTGGCGCAGCGCCTGCCAAGTGCACGGAGCTGTCTGCCGCTTTTGCGGATGCGGAGTCGGAGTCAGATGGGATTTTCAGTGATTGCTCCGAGATTGCTGCTCCCTCTTGAGATTCCTATCGTTAGGCAGACTATTCGATTGCCGGGGATGGGGAACTCATACATATATATACATCAGATATAGCTGGATGCTCAAAAATGTTGAAGTTCCATGTTTTGTGAGATCTATCTTTTCCTTTGATTTTGATTCTTGCTACTTTTTGTTTCTCGTTACCTTCTCTCTCTCTCTCTCCAATCTAGGACCAAATTCCACCGTTGCGACTAGCAGAGTACATACGTTGTCCAAAGAATACTTCCACTTGGCCTCTGGTTCTGTTTTTAACTCTTTTTCAGCATCTTATTCGTCCGCTGCGGCAGACGCCGCAGCCATTCCATTGTCGCCGAAGCCCCATGCCGTAGGCTGGGGCCGGCGACTCACCTTGAATCCAGCACTACAGCTCGCGTAAGGGGGGCGAAAGAGCCCCCCGTTCATTTTTATAGGTCTATTTATCATGACAGTCTTGTAAACATTCGATATTTGTAGTACAGCACAGTACCACATACAGTATATACGACAAGGAACTCATCTGATCAGATAAGATAAAAGAACCGCGAGACCAGTACAGTACTGTACGGAAGTACAGAGCACACACGCGTAGAAATGCCATTGCTGTAAGGAATTCCATCGAGCAATACCGTAAGGTATTGTTCTCCGCCCCATCTCCACCCGCCGGGGTGGAGAAAACCCCGAATGTCCGGCGTCTCTGAAGACCCAACATTTAAGAACTCCCACTTCCCAACCTGAAATCTCTTCTCTCATCACCACAGCCATGCACTCTCAATCTCATTCTCTCGACCCAAAATGCAACCCTTCTCCGTCTTCGTGCGATGGCGCCCGCTCCCACCCGACGCGTCCGACCCCACGGAACTCACCCGCGACTATGAACCCCACCCCGCCAACAACCGCATATCAATATCCCTTCCCTCGCAGAGCCGACAACACCGTCCCTGGAATAGCAGCCACGCATTCACGCAGATCTTCGAAGCAAGCGACACCAACCGCACCGTCTTCGACTCCGTAGTCGCGCCCACCTTGCCCCTGATCCTGAACGGCGGAACCAGCAACGTCTTCGCCTACGGCCACTCCGGCAGCGGCAAATCCCACACCATCATCGGCTACGACTTCGAGCACACCGAGCACTACGGCCTGTGTCTCGCAGCAGCGCAGCACCTACTGGACGCCCTGCACGCCATCAATCTCAATCTCACCACTAACACCACAGACGAGGCATCCCACCTCGGCCTCGGCCTCGGGCTCCGCATGTACGAGCTCCGCGGCAACGAGGCCTTCGACCTCCTCAACGATCACAAGAAGTGCCACATCCGCGAGGGCGGCGACGGGAAGACGCACCTCCGCGGCGAGACGGAGGTGCTGGCGCACGGCCGCGTGCGGGTGCGGCCCATTGCCACGAAAGCGTGCTGGAGCTTGGAGGAGTTCCTCGCCCACCTCCGTGGTGGGTTGGCGTTGCGCGCGACGGGGACTTCGACGGTGCATGAGCTGAGTTCGCGGACGCATGCCGTGCTGGAGGTGGAGGTGGTGTCCCGCGCGCTGCTGGCGGCCAGGGAGGCGGTCGTGGAGCGCGAGTCCGAGTTCGTCCCTGTTGCCAAGCGGGCGACGGATGTTTATCTGGAGGAAAGTTGGAAGGGGTTGGTGAAGGATGGGACGGGGAAGTACGTCCCTAATCCTGAGTATCGGGTCGATCAGGCGAGGATTGACGAGGCAGAGGCTAGAAAGGCGGAGTTCTTGGGGTATGTGGAGGATGCAGCGAGGACGGTGGAGGAGGTGATGAGGACGGCGGGACATGCCTGTCTTGGGGGTAAGTTGGTATTGGTGGATCTGGCGGGGTCGGAGTTCTATCATGATAAGAGTATTGCGGCGGTGCCACGGCTGAAACCGTCTCCCCAGGAGCAGCGCGAGGGCAGGCAGATTAATACGGATCTGCTCGCGCTGAAGGAGGTGATTCGTGCCAGGGCTGCGAGGGCGGCCAGGATCCCGTATCGGTCTTCGCCGCTTACGATGGTGCTGAGGGAGCATTTTCAGGGAACGACGGGTGGGGATGAGAAGGGCGGTTCTTGTTCGAGGATGATTTTGACAGTTTCGCCGGCTTTGGGTCAGGCGGCGGCCACAGTCAATACGTTGAAGTATGGGAATTTGGTTGGGATGGTAGATCTTGGTAAGTAGACAAGAGGGTACAAATAAAAGTTTGGACATTAGATGGACTTTTGAGTGTAATTCGCCCAGAATCGGGCTTCGAACCAAATGTACGATCAAGTGCATCAAGAACTGGCAAGATCTCAGATTGCTGACTCTCTACAGTGCTGAACGCTGGTAGGATTGTAAGATCCATCTCTCTAGACTTAATCTCGCGTAGAAGACGCGCCGGAATGAATGTGCACGGTTCTTCATTTCAGACTGACACAAATCATGACTCGCAGATTCACCAGTGATTCAACAAGAACAGCACCTATCTGCAAGGGGGACTCCGCAACCCACAAATCAACATGTACATTTCTCTTTCCACCTAGCACCCCCTTTGTACCCCAAACTCCACTCATCACACCCAGCATTCAACCGCAAATGTGAGCACCGCCGGAGATTTGGTAGCCTAGAGACCACAGTCAGTACCTCTTACCCTTGCCTTCCAAGTGCACCACTAAACTCACCACTAGCATCATACAGGAAGCCATCGCTGTGGATATAGACATCTATATCACATCATCAGTTGTCTATTCAACGAGCTGCATCGTACGAAGCAAAGAACATACCGCCGTAGCTTGAGGGCCAGGTGTAGGTGACCGAGTTCTTGGAGCAGACGCTGCTATCGACCCAGAAGAAGCCCCAGCCGCCGCCGATGGTGACGGATCCACCGTTCTTGAGCTGGATGTCGGAGCCCTGGTTGTCCTGGATCCAGCCGTTCTTGCCGTAGTTGTTGTGGAAATGGGTGGCGGACACGCCCAGGGCGGAGACAAGGAGGACGGCGGTGGACTTGAGGATGTGCATGATGATCAGAATGAATCTGTGTAGAGACTTGTAGAGAATGTTAATGATGGTCGTGATGAGAGAATCTTCTCGATGGGTCGTCCAGAGGTTTATATAATTTTCCCGCCAAATTGAAGACCCTGAATCATTGCAGCTGTCCGTGACGGCCCCCACATTCTTCCCAGTGAGCGCCCGTCTGGCTCTCGCTTCGCTCGCTTACCCGCAGATCAGTCCAAGTGTATACTGCAGACTGCGGAAATTCCCGCAAAGGTGAGGTAGACATGATTCCTAAGTGACCAGACACGAGGATCGTCGGGGTCGAGCCGCACCGGGAAAGGATGCAGGGTTCAGCTGGACGAGGCTAGACCAACGCTAATCATGCAGGGTCAGCCTTGGACTCATTAAGTACCTTATGGGCTTGCAAACTAATCTATCATGCTAACCCTTTCTAGAAAATCCTCTCTTCCTTACTGCCAGATCCAGGTCGTCACGAGACGCGCCCGTCTTGAAGGGGTTTCCCCAAACTGCCTGAATTGGGCTGGCTTATGCCGACATGCGTCCATAGCCGCCGCCACATTTCCCCAAATCGAATCGTCAGCGCACGCATAAGGCAGGGGTCGTGGTTTTGTTCTCATCTTGTGGAAGAGTGCGCTCGTATCCTCTGTTCGAGAACTGCTGCAAGGCGTCCAAGGGGAACTCGTATCGGTAGGTGAGACTTGCCTGTTTGACGCGAATGGCTGTAATATCCGGGGAACGGAGTCGAGATGCAGCTTATTTCAGTGCGCGGGGGTTGCTTAGCCCAATCAAGACTAGACAAGCCTTCTAGCCCCGGGTCATCCAGTTGGCTAATTTGGAGAGTGAGACATTCACCGAGAGAAGAGGCGATCTAGATGGGGACGATGTAAGCTTGTTTCTAGTTTACCTCAGGCCTGGGGTAGAGTTCCCTTGACGATGACCGATGTCGAGGGTGATTGTTTAGGGATTCGCAGGCCGACGGTGCGCAAGAATTACAGGCAGTAGCAATGTGAGATTGACAGAAATATCGTCTCATCATCCGACAAGGAAAGTAAAATAGAAGAGACATCGGAACCGCAGTAGGCGATCAAACAAGCCAGCCTGGAGCCCTGTGTATACTAACCACCTAGCACGTGGTGGCTGCTGACTTCGTGTGAGTCTCAGACTGTCTCTTGCCCCGCGGAGCGACTATTCACATGCTGCAGCTAGGGTTCGGAGCTGGCTTTCATTCTGCAGACAAACAACCACCCTGGCTGAAGCATCGTCGGCTCTTCATTCTTCGCATCTCCTCATGCAATTACTAATCGCGTTGTCGCACTTTCTCTTACATAGAAATCATAATCGACAACCCTCAGTCACAGGAGATAAAATCCCGATATTTTTGTGATTCCAATGTTCCGAATTAGGAAGCTGAGCGCCTTGCAGCATGCAGGCTTGGATTAACTGCATGTCGACGACAAAAGTAAGACAAACAATTTAGGAAGAGGTGGTCTAGACGCCCGCTCCATCGAAAGCAAGCCACCAGAAACCATTCTGATTCTCTCCAACGATCCCGGCGTACAATTTCTACGGTCAATGCTTAGTGACACAAGGCAGATTGAGCGTTGTGTGTCGCATGTAGACATCCTCTCGGAAATATTCAGCATAGCAAGTAAAATATACAACTAGACCTTGAGGGTGGGAAGCCTAATTATCTCGTCAGCCTGGATGCGTTCCCGCATCGATGCGGGCGGTTTGCAAAGAACTTTCATCGCTGGTGCTAAACAACATCTTGTGAATGTGAGATTGGAGCTTGCCTACCCAGCACATCCCTCTTTGAGGATAGGTTTATATACTACGATCATGGTACAAATAAGACTGTGGACTAGCGACTACTTGGAACTCGCATAAAAAACGTGACCGCCCTGTCTAATGAAGTATTGTTATCACATTCTACGCGGATTATGCTCGATAACCTTCTATAGGTCAGTACTTGCTTCTCAGTGCTTTGGGCGTTTATCTTTGTTGATGCTTCACTATTTCGATATTCCTGTCGGTGTTTTTGGTTAATTACGTCGATCGGAGCCGTATTAGCAAAGCATATTTTTTGAATGGCGACCAGACCATGCTCATGGAAGCCATTCATATAATGCTCACTAGCTTCTTGATATGTTTCAAAGCATCCGAGCTACTTGATCAAGAATTTATTATTATACACGCAGATGTTGGCACATGCGACCGTGTTCTAGAATAGCCGATCTAGTCAAATAGGCGGCTTGTCACTCAAATCAAGATCTTGAATCACTCATGCGAATGCCATAAAATGCATATCATATGCTTAGCACTTCTTTTACAACATCACTTCGTCGTATAGAACTGCTATCAGCGTCGGACTTTTCTGATGCTCGGCATGGCAATTTTGCAATCATTTAATTTTGCAGGGAGCTGCCTGTCTTGGCAAGCATGGCTACAGCTTCCTTATCATTATCATTATGGTACGCGAGAGCTTAGCTTAACGTACTTAATCAACTATTCACTCATTCAGATAACTGTTGTCAACACTATCAATGTTACTCGGCTTATTGAGACGAATGGAAAGTTCCTCGACAGAGTCTTTCTACCTTCGGCCAAAGCACACATTACTATATCCGTCATATTTTGCCACGGCGCATCTACGGCCCATTACTGGTATCTCTACACCTTTCATGGTCCAGCGTTTTTCTGGGAATTACGCTCAATCTCTGGTATGAAAATAGAACCAAGAGGCCCCTAATGCCCATTTATCCGATATTTGACTACCAGCGATGGAGTGTGAGGCATGCAGTTACCGACGTTTAGACCTGAGTGGCCGTGTTGCATGAGATATATATGTCCCGCACCAACGTCTTTTTACATCACTGACTTCGCAATCCTGAGAGGTGAGCTCATGCCCTACATTTATGACTAATATTCTGGATAAATGGCGTTTGAAATAGGATGTACACACCTTAGATTCATGCACAATGCCGTCCAGGTGCAGGATATCGAACCGAGTTCTAGCGCTCGTCAATAGGAAATCGAAACATCTACTCTGCTACTTAGTCTAGGCCCTCAATTCAAGAACTGTCAAGCCAGGCCACAGGTCCTGCACAATTTTCTTTCACTGCTGAATAACCAGAAAGGCAGTTGTCTCGAGCCAGGAAAGTCTGGACTCTCAGTTACGGCACAACCTGACAGCAGTCGGCTTGTCACCCGCCTTGTGGGCCCTGATGCTGAAACTCACAATAGCCCTGGGCAAGTATCTCTGTTGCCTATTCAAGATTACAGTGTGATCTTGTGAGCGATTTGACCCCGTCTGAGGTCAGAAAGAATGAGAAGGATTGGGCGTTCCATGCTGAACCACCGGCCTCGAAGAACTCTTCACTCGCAGCGTGAGAGTTCTCGCTAAATCTACCAATTCTCTGGAGCAACATTATCAATGCAAGCAAAGGTGAGTACCACTGGATTGATAAGTCTGCCAGTGACGTCGATTGTCGATCCCAAGCCCCGTCGAGAATACGCCAAGGCTGTGATATCGAGCGGTACCGAGGCAGATCTCCTTTCGCGCTCCGCAACCGGGTCATGCTGCTCACGTTCGGGTTGATCCTCATCCTTCGAGAGTGATGGATCTACCATGGTCTAGATCATTTTGCCCTGAATGCTTCAGGCACAGCCGTAGGTGATCCATGGATCAGAAATGGAAGGACTGGCCAACTGAAACAGACAGACTTTTCCAATCTCGCCGTATCATCCATGCATGACAGGCTGGCCGAGGTTTCAGCGAGGACAGGCTCAGCCTTTGAAGCTGATCTCTCTCATCCACCAAGGAATGTGGTGCAGGTTGAAGGTTTTGCCGGAGCGGGCCGATTGCCCGATCGGGGAAAGAGGCCTCAAAAATTGGGCGATTGCGGGGACGCAGGAATCACTAGGAGTCATTAGTAGTAGCCCTAACGAACCCCTTAAACAGCCGGCGAGAAGACCCGTCCAGGAACACGATCACCGCCCCAGGGGGAATAGAGGGGGACGATCGTTCATTTATCGGCGACAGACCCTGGTCACGGACAGGGTCTGCCCTTGGGATCCGAGCGCCCCGACTGGCAGCAGTCATTCTACCGGTCTGGCTGCTACACCGACACATAACGGCACGCCCGCGACGTCGCAGGGTGAGACATTTGCGGCTAACCATGGATTGTGATGTATCAACCGCACGGTTTCAGGCCTCTCAGCCCGGGGTTGAGCCACCTCCCAGGGATGTGAACCGAGCTTCTCGAACAGCCTCGGTGCAAGCTGAAACACGCCCGATCCGATCGCGGGCTGTTCAGCTCAACTGACTTGTGAAGGGTCTCAATTTTGAGGACTTGGACCAAGTATAAGGTTGGGAGGTTTTCACGAAAAGTTGGTCGGTCCAGTCCAGTCCAGCTCATCCATCCATTCACTCCGACCAGTGCAGTGCACTTCCTCTCTCTTTCCTCCCTCAGGTTGTTCCTTCGTTTACAGAGCTGCGCTCTATCTCTCTCGTTTCAATAGCACGTTTGTTGCCGTCGATCTTTTCATCATGAAGTCCTTCGTTACTCTTTCTCTCCTTGCCACTGCGCTGGCTGCGCCCACCCCGACTCTGCACGGGCGTCAATTCGACCTCTCTTCTTTGCTGTCCGGGTCCAGCTCTGGCTCCAGCACCTCCTCTGGATCTAGTGGTCTGAGTGCTCTGGCCTCGCTGTTCCCAACCAGTGGCTCGGCGACCGGCAGCACCACCGGCTCTTCCGACACCAGTGGCAGCGCTAGTGGGAGCACCACTGGCACCACCACTACCAGCACCGACAGCAGCAGTGGCCTGAGTGCGCTGAGCTCTCTGTTCCCCAGTAGCAGCGCCACCACCAGCTCCTCTGGCAGCAGCGATGGACTCAGCGGTATGATCAGCAGCGTCATGGGTGGTAAGCTTCTGTCCCACTTTTGTGCCCCCCTCATCATACACAATACTCATTTCCTTTAGGCTCCAGCACTCAGAATGGAGTCACCTCCAACACCGGCTGCAAGGAGCTGACCTTCATCTTCGCGCGTGGAACCACGGAGATGGGCAACATGGGCAGCGTGGTCGGCCCCGAGGTCGCCTCGGCCCTGCAGTCGCTGACCGGCAACAAGGTGACGGTGCAGGGTGTGGACTACCCCGCCGACTGGGCCGTAAGTCGTCCTCTGTCTCTTCAATTTTCTCGGATTACGTCAAGCTAATCATGTCCCAAACAGGGCAACATGAACATGGGCGCCTCCGGCGGCCCCAAGATGGCCAGCCTGGTCAAGCAGGCGCTGAGCCAGTGCCCCAACACCAAGGTCGTGCTGGGCGGCTACTCGCAGGGCTCGATGGTGGTGCACAACGCCGCCAGCTCGTTGAGCGCGGGCCAGATCCAGGCCGCCGTCCTGTTCGGTGACCCGCTCAAGATGACCTCGGTCGGCAAGCTCGACTCCAGCAAGGTCAAGGAGTTCTGCGCCGTCGGCGACCCCGTCTGTGAGAACGGCGTCAATGTCATGGCTCACTTGTCTTATGGAAGCGATGCCCAGACGGCCGCGCAGTTCCTGGTCAGTGCCGTCGGGCTTTCGTAGGTTAGGGTGGAAGTTGAGGTAGAAGCATGAGGATGCGTTATGGTCATGGATTGGTTTTTATGGATCTGGAAATGGTTATGCTTTGAGCTTGGATATGGGTTTCTATGATGTAGTGGGGATGGGATAGCCTGGTGCTGTCTCATGGTCGCTGCTGCTGGGGTTATACTTTCTTGCACACACTCCTTTTATACATGAATGTGAACACACTCTTCGGGGCACTTGCTCTTTTCCGAGTTATTGGAGTAGTCTCTTCTGCATTTTGCAGGCAAAAAACAATTCTCAAGTGCCTTGAACATATATCTGTGGTAGCCTATGCGACTTGTGCGAAGACAGCGCGTCGTGTATTGAACAGTGGACGGGTAAGCCAGACTGAACCTCTTTAGCGTACAGTATCATCATTTTAATGATTGATGATTGTACAACAGTGCAGACTGACGAACCAATCCCCAATCCTCTTAGTCGACCATCCACCCGGAGAGTCCGAGGCAAGGATTACAAACGCGACCGCGTGCAACAAGCCTTCTGGGTTCCCCGGCTTTTCCCCAGAGTCATCCTAACCGTGCGGGGTCAACTGCCGATCGGCCTTCTTCGTTGGCCTGGTGGTCCATCGGAATATCCGACGTCTTGGCATTTTGCTTAACAGCTCTCTTATATACTGCGGATGACCCGCACCCGCACATATCTCGCCCCCCATGCTTCTCTCCCTTTCTCCACTCTACTCCGCTACATCTCACCATGGACGAGGACAAGGGCACATCCAACCACATCGACTACGCCGATGAACAGGGGCTGGAAGATGGCTACGATGCCAAAACTACCGAACCGGCCTCGGATCCGCACGATCCCAAGGTAGGCAACTCTACATCTAACCAACACAGAATTATCAAACTCACCTTCACTCCACAGAACTGGCCTCTGCTGACGAAAATCACGACATACATGACCATCTGTTGCTTCACCTTCCTGGCCAACGTTAACAGCAGCAACTTCACCGTCGCCACCAAAGCCATCATCGCCGAGTTCCACGTCTCCTCCACGGACGCAGGCCACCTCGTCTCGCTGAATGTCTTCTTCTTCGGCCTGGGCAACCTCGCATGGGTCCCTCTCATGCGGGTCTTTGGCAAACGGCCCGTCTACCTGGCCGCCCTGCTCGGCCTCTCGATGATGAACGTCTGGTCCGCGAACGCCACGGGATACTCGGAGTTGCTGGGCGCTCGGATCATGTCCGGGCTCGCTGCCGCCGCCGCCGACGCGACTGTCCCCGCGGTGGTGGGCGATATGGTTCGTCCGGAGGGTCGAGGTCATTGGTTGATGATCTTCCATCTGGCGCTGACGTCGGGGTTGTTCGTGGGGCCGTTGATCAACGCCTACATCGTGCAGGACGCGGGCTGGCGCTGGATGTGTTGGTTCCTGGCCATTGCTTCCGGTGTGGTTTGGGCGGTGGGTATTTTCACCATCCGCGAGACTACCTATGTGCCTGCTCGACATGAGGCTTCCCAAGACAAGACCCCCTCAGTCTGGAGCATGCTCTCGTTGAAGCAGGGCTACAACCCCGATGCCTCGTTCCTGCGCACGGTCAAAGCCATCTTATCCGCCGCAGCCTATCCCCAGCTCCTCTGGTGTGCCTTTACCATTGGTGTCTCAGTCGGATGGTTAGTCCCCCGAACCCTCGTCCCTTCTCCCACAACACATCCCCAAGCTGACTAACTGGTCGTGCGTAAAACAGGAACATCGTCGTGCAACTCACCGCCTCTCGCACCTTCACCTCCGCCCCCTACAACTGGCCCGCCGGCGACATCGGCCTCCTCTCGCTGGCCGGGTTCATCGGGTCCCTCCTCGCCTTCTACGTCGGCGGCCGTCTCATCGACCAGATCTCAACGCGGTACACCCAACGTCGCGGCGGCGACCGACAACCAGAGTACCGTCTTCCGGCCTTGGTGGTGCCCGGGGTGATCGGACCGGGGGGCATTCTGATATTCGGACTGTGCATCGCGCACCAGACGCACTGGATGGGCGTGGCGGTGGGATACGCGATGCAGGCGTTCGGGGTGGCGGCCATCTCGAATGTCGCGGTGACATATGCGTTGGATTGTTATCAGCGGGTGAGTTGCTTCGTCTTCTTTTTCTTCTCCTTCCTCCTCCTCCTCCTCCTCCGGCCGTCGAAAATCCGCAATCTGTTGCAATATGCTCCTTGGTAGTATGCCGAGGGAGCATCCGGGATATAAACCCCTTCCCGATCGTCCGATTCCCCTCTCGCCCAGCACCCCCCTCTCCTCTCTCATTCGGATAAAAAATCACCCCTCCAATCAAGCCCCTTAATCTATTTCCCTCGTATTCCCTCGCCGATTCCAATCAAAACTAGAACTGATACGAGGGGTGGAATGCAGATCGCCGGCGAAGCCTTGGTGATCATCTTCGTCATCCGCAACACGATCGGCATGCTGCTTTCGCTGTACGCGAGCGACTGGATCGCGCGCCAGGGCGTGGCGGTCGTGTTCGGCGAGATGACGGCGATCCAGGCCGCTAGTTTGCTCTTGGCGGTGCCCTTGTTTTTCGGGGGGCAGAGGTTGCGCGCGTGGACGGGGCGGTATGGACCTAATCGGGGGGGTTGAGGTTGAGGTGTTGGTCGGTGGGTTTACGAGTTTTCAATTTGGTCGGGTGGAGTGTTTATATGATTGTGGTTGTGGTGTGGTGTTTTGATGGGGTTCTACAGTTGATGGTGGTGGTGGTGCTGTTCTTGTCTGGCATCTATGCCCTTAGCACTGTAGTTACGTACCTGAGCGGTAGAATCTGGTCAGGAGTTTACTTGACCTCTGTCCAGTTGCTGTTCCAATTCTTTCTGAATCCCGCTGCGCATTGCGAACCAGTAGGAATCGACCTTGTCCAATGGTTGCCCATCCATTCCTGTCTCACACTCCCAGGGTAGTTGACGGTTCAGCTCGCTAAGAGAGTTTTCCGGGCCGGATTTCCGAGGCTGCGCTCCCAACTGGGCCTTTTTTTTTTTTTTTTCCTCTCGCCTGCAATCTCCGTTTTTATGTCCACTGGGTCCTCGGAGTGGTCCGAGCGGAAGGGCAGGTACCAGACTCGCATGGCTAAGGGCAGCGATGGAGAGCTGGCCGACGTGAGCATGACAGATTCTCGTCCATGGGTGAATCTCGGGGTGGCGGGGGTTTTCCTTGGTGAGTCGGACATCGTATTTGTGGATTGACACAATGGAGCTCCGGCGAGGGATAAGGTTTCCGGACGCAGAATGAACCTTGGGTCGGTGTGGTTGCTTACGTATATTATTTGATGCTCTTAAAGGCAACAGAACGTAGTGTCGACATTCACTTACAAACTGAGTACATATGTGCAAGTTATCTGGTGAGGCTATCCATCAACTGAAGGCTTGCAAGCTGCATGGATCCTGTCCATCATTAGTTGAATGATCGTGCTGGAACCTCTCACCACATGGCACGACGGGTTGATTTTCTGCTGTTTCTTGGCTGTTGCGGTGCTGGTGTGGGCAAGTTAGGGCCAGAACCGAGGCTACCCCTAAGTTGAGTGGGTCGTTAGCGGCTTCGCTACTCTTCTTGGTCTTCTTAGTCCTGCCGATTTTTTTCCTCAATTGACCACGACAACCCAAGCACAACCACAACCTGCGTCATCAGGCCCTCCCTCAAAGGCACCAAAGGCAGCCGGTGCAATTTCTCGACAACCACGGTAGTTCCAATCTATTAGCCGACCTTATTAGATTTAGATTGCATGTCAGCACTCAATCAGGCATCTCCTCGAGTCCGTGAATTCCTTCAGGGGAGAGAGGCCATTGTCCCTTGTTCCTGCAAGCCGTGACAAAGCTTAACCCGCATAGAACTTTTCCTCCTGACCCGAACTATCATCCTCTACCTGAACTCTGTCAATCCTTTCGGTTGCTCGGCTTTCGACTTGACCTTTCCTTCCTTCCTTCCTCCCTTCTAGCTCCGCTTGGACCCCCCGTCGGGTCTGCACCATTTTACCAGTAGCCCCCAAGCATACGCTCTACGTGACTTCAGACAAGACTGTAGGAAAAACCCATACGTGCCAAAAGTAAAATATCACGTACACTCGTTTAGGCCACCTGGAAGCTGAACCCAGGTCAGCTTCCAGACCGAGCTGACAGGAGAGAAAAAACAATGCACTCTGCCAGGGTGGAGCCGGCGAGTGCCACCCATGGATTCGTTTCCGCTTCTCTGCGTGACGGGCAGCCTCGGTTCCAGATTTTCGGGCCTTGCCGGACTTCTGACTTGCTGCTTTGTTTTTGTTTTGGATTTTTTTCTTCTCTCTTTCTACCATTGTGGACATTGGACACCTTCCCCCCTCCACCCGCCTCTCAGATCTGTACCGTGACATCCGTCGATGCCCCAGAAAAAGAAGAGCGAGGGGAAACAAGCTGTGATCGTCACCATCTCCTGTTTTAAGAGGGGAATGGGATGCGATCATGAGCAATAGGACACAACATCCCCCTTCGATTGACTCACTCACTCACCGGGGACGAATCCCCGAAAGTCTGAAAATTGGATTCTTGTCTGGGAAACCAAAACAAAACCCGCCAGCCAGCCAGCCAGCTGGGTCTCATGAGCAGCACTAGAACCAACTAGTCTCGTCTTGTCCCTGCTCCGGATACACGGTCGCCCAGCGCCAAAACGTGCGCTGCAGCACATAGTCTCAGTAGTCCAACAAGTCCCTCCATTAGCGGGCAAAATTGAGTTCGCCACTTTTCTTGGTGCAGGACAGACCAGGGCTTTTTACGTAGCGTAGCGCGTCGTTTCCTCCTCTAGTATGAGGAAAGAGCAGTCCTTTCGAAAGAAAGAGTTTGGTTCATTGTAGCAGCGGGTGAGTGTACATGACAGAGTGCACCGAAGTGTAGCTTGGCTGGTGCAGTGGTCACTGTTCCCTTATCTGCTGGTTCACTGTCTCCGCTGCAGTCCTGGCGTTGGCCTGTCTGTCACCTATATCACCGGGCTACAGTCTGTGCTTCTTTTTTCCCCTTCTCTTTTTTCCTTCCCCAGATCTATTCTCATCTGTCACTCTTTTCCCTTTCTTTCTTTCTTTCTTTCTAATACTAGGGTGTTTGTTCTCACCCATCGACAGAGGTCAAGCCCAGATCATGCCGAGTTGAGCACACCATGACCAACAGCTCCTCCATCACGCCGGCCATGGCGCCGCCCGCCGGGATGGTCTCCAACTTCGTCGACCCCCCGTCGTGCGGCCTCAAGTTCCTTGTGGTCAACTGTGTCTTCCTGCCTCTGGCGGTGATTGCGCTGGTCGTGCGCATGTGGACGCGCATCTACCTGGTACGCAGTGTGTCATATGATGATTGTAGGTGTCCTTCGCTCCGGAGTATCGAGCCTAGTATACTAACGATACTCCAGACCTCATGATTATCTCCGTTGTAAGCCGCCTCCTCAATGATATTCCTCACGTGCATCGCAACTGACCAACAGGTCCTCTCCTGCATCCTCACCGGCGTCACCCTCGACAGTAAGCCATCCATACCCTGCTCCAACCTCAGCCACCAAGCTAATGGACAGTGCTCAACTGGGGTCTGGGTAAACACATGTGGGACGTCCCGTACAGCTCTCTCACCCCGTGGTTCCTGAGGGTAAATCCCCCCCGGCTCCTCCACCTCCAACCACACGCGCAAATCTGACTAACGGCGATAGCTCAACGTCGTCGCGGCCATCATCTACTGCGCCGGGACCGGCTTCACCAAAGTCTCCGTCCTGATCTTCTACCTGCGCATCTTCCCCAGCAAGACCTTCCACTACGCCGTCTGGACCGTCATTTTCATCGCGGTGGGCTACAACGTGGCCAGCGTGCTGGCCAACATCTTCAGCTGCAGCCCCGTGGCCGCCGCGTGGGACTATTCGATCACGAACGCGACGTGCATGAACCGACCGGTGTTTTACTTTGCGAATGCGGGGTTGGGCATTTTCACGGATTTCATGACGACGTTGGTGCCGATGTGCGTCTTTCCTCCTCGGGATTGAAGGGTGTGATGCAGTGCTGACGGGGTGGTAGTCCGTGGTTGCGGAGATTGCAGATGCCGTTCCGACAGAAATTCGCGGTTGGTGCTATGCTGGCTATGGGGTGCATGTGAGTGTTCCAGTCCTTTTTGTTTGTTTCGTTTGAGGGCATCGATGATGCTAACAAGGAGGATAGCGTCGGAGTCATCAGCTGCATCCGTCTCGCCAGTTTATACACCCTGCTCGAAAGCACCGACCTCACTTGTACGCTCCCGCCTCTCGCTCCTCCTCATCCCACCATAAGACTGGAGACTAAGACAAAGCACAGGGACCACGACCAACGCACTCATGTGGTGCACCATCGAGCTCAACCTGGGGATCATCGGCGGGTGCACGACCGCGATGCGCCCCTTCGTGCGCCGCTACTTCCCCCGCCTGCTGGGTCTCTCGACGCACAGCGGCGGCTACCACGAGTCGGCCTCGCGCAAATACGGCCACCCGCTGGGCTCCATCCCCCGCGATGCGCCCGAGTTCGCGCCCGCCAGCAACCACTACTCCACGCGATTGCACGGGGGCACCAACGACGACAGCGAGGAGCATATCCTGCCGGGGACGACGACCCCGGGGGCCGCGTTGCACCGCAGCAAGGGCAGCACGGAGGGGATTATCCGGACGGTGGAGTTTAATGTGGATAGTAATACGGACCTGCGATAGCTGATGACACGGTATATTGATGCATAATTGATGGATTATTTTCTTGTCCTATTTTTGTCTTCCACAGCTTCTTGCGCTGTGATTCTTTCGTCTGCATTTTTGTCCAATTTTTTTTGTTTCGTTCGTCTCTGGGCTGGTGGAGCTGTCATGGCGCCATGCCATGTGCTGTCAGTGTCGGTGTCAGCAAGTGGATCAGGTCGGTGCTTGCTCTTGCTTGGTAATCACGGCGTTAAGAGGGGATAGGGGACCGCATTGTATCGCAGGTTGGAACCTGCTTAATCTCTAATTCAAATGACAGCTGTCTAGACGAGACAGGGGGAAATTTTCGTAGGGGATTAGGGCTATCCAGATGCGGTACTTGATCCGGAAGACGGACACCCACCAACCATCCCGACCCTCCCAACGGCTCACCTCGTTCTGCACGCACGGCATCCTCCGGCAAGGAAATGGGTTCCGAACCGTGCAGAAGCACTATGCACAGTGCCGTACACGGTACACCTGTATAAGATGGCGGCGGTGTATGAGAAGGAGTCTATTGGCGCAATCCTTCTTCCACGTGGGTGGTAAGTTAGTGCCCCCCCCTCGGCTATTGCCTGCTTCTCCCCCCCCAACCAGGGCGATAAGTTCCCCACTTTCGAGACTATTGCAGCGCCTCTAATCCCTTTCCATCCACGCCCGTTTGTTGTCCAGTGATCTAGCAAGACCGCTAAGCCGGGTGTAGCCTAGCAAACCAGACTAGAACCATTCTTCTGTCCTTCCGCCTTGCTTCTGCGCGGTGAGCCCGTTTTTTTTTTTCTGCACGCATTCGGTGTTGTGTTCCTTCGTCTTCTGGCCTCCCCACTCCGATCAGGCACACCTGATTCATGCAAACGCAGCTCCTCCACTTTTCTTCTGGTTGTTCCGCGGAGTGGCCTGCATCGACCTTACTGCGATGAGTCTGGCCTGATCACTTGGCTTGCAAGTTGCAATTGAGTTCGGAGGTTATCGTTCGTTCCCCCCCAACGCCAGCTAGGCTGTAGCCCGTAGCCCGTAGCCCGTAGGCTTTAAAAGCCTCACCTTGTCCCCGATTTTTCTTTGGTCTCTCAGGATCTAATTCTCATCTCCTTTGTTTCGCTTTTCTCATTCTTGTCCTTTCAAGAAGAATTGCACCATGAAATTCACCCGCGTCCTCCCGCTCGCCGGCCTCGCCGGCGCCAGCAACCTCACCAAGGGCTGCAACGTGCTGAACGGCGCCCTGGACGAGGTCTACCTGCCCAGCACGACGGTGTACGAGTACGAGGCGCAGAACTTCTGGTCCAACACCGAGATCATGGCGCCCGGGTGCGTGTTCCGGCCGCAGTCGAGCGCGCAGCTGGCGCGCGGCATTGAGAAGCTGGTGGCGGCGCAGGCCGAGTTCGCCGTGCGCGGTGGCGGCCACATGGGCATCCGGGTATGCTGCAGTGCCTTCTTCTGCACCTTTTTCCAGAGGTACCAAAGATGGCGTGATTGATTGCTAACGTGGAACGAATGATCGGCAGGGATCCAACAACATCGACGACGGCGTGCTGATCGTCATGTCCAACCTGACCACCCTGGAGTTGAACGCCGATCAGTCGCTGCTGCACATGGGTCCTGGCTTCCGGTTCGTGGCCCTGCCTTGCCTCGCTTACCGTAACTCTCGTTCGAGAAAGTACTGACATGTCCGAATAGCTGGCAAGAGATCTACGACTACCTGGAACCCTACAACCTCACCGCGCCGGGCGGCCGACTAGGCCCCGTCGGCGTGCCGGGGCTGCTGCTGGCCGGCGGCGTGAACTACTACGGCAACCAGGTCGGGTTCTCGTGCGACTCGGTGGTCAACTACGAGGTCGTGCTGGCCAACGGCACCATCGTCGAGGCCAACGCCACCGCGCACGCGGATCTCTTCTGGGCCCTGAAGGGTGGCAGCAGCAACTTCGGCATCGTGACCCGCTTCGACATCGAGACCATCGCCTCCACCCAGGTGTGGGCGGGCACCTGGACGGTCGCGGAGGAGTACATCCCGGATTTCTTGGCCGTGCGTTTTCTCCCTCCCTACCCCGGTGGATCATGAGAACGACTAGAGTAGAGAGAGGACTGATGAGAAGGAAACACAGGCAACGGCTGCGTTCGCCGCCAACAACACCGACCCCAAGACCCACGTCGTGCCCGCCGTGGTCCCCTCCGAGGGCTCGGCGGTCGGCTCGGTGATCCTCTTCTACGACAGCCCCGACGTCAGCTACCCGGACGCGCTCAAGGTGTTCACCGATATCCCGGCCGTGTCGAACACGATGGGCTTCAAGACGGTGGCCGAGATGGCCGTCGAGATGGGTGCGGTGGTCACCCCGCACATTAAGTATGTCTCATCCCAGCCCAGCCCAGCCCAGCCCAGCCCGCGCCCCTTCATCCTATCCGCAAACCCTAAACCTCTTACAAAAAACTAACAAGTAAAAAGCGACATCTTCGTCGCCGGCACCATCAAAGCAACCACCTACGACTCCCTCCTGCAGGGCGTGCAGATCATCAACGCTACCTTCGCGGCGCAGCTGCCCAAGCTGTACGCCCAGATCCCGGCGGCCAACATCTCCATCATCGAGCTGGACTGGCAGCCCATCGGTGCCAACTGGATCGACGCCTCCACCGCCCGCGGCGGCAACGCGCTGGGCCTCGACGCCACCCAGAACTACCTGTGTTATGCCGAGGTGGTCGAGTGGATTGGCAGCGAGTACGACGCTATCGTGGGCGACTGGGTCGTCGAGACGACCGAGCTCATCAACAATGCCACCGATGCCGCGGGGCTGTATGACCCCTTCAACTACATGGGTGATGCGGCGTGGTTCCAGGAGATTTACTCCGGGTATGGCGCGGAGAATTTGGAGAAGTTGCAGGAGATTGCCAGTGCTTATGATCCCGAGGGGGTGTTCCAGACGTTGATGCCGGGTGGGTATAAGCTTTTCTAGGCTGGTGTGGTTAAGGTTGGGGGGGGATGATGACGGTGTTAGAGGGGGGTGGGGGGTAGATGTAATCTGGACTATGGACTATATGTATTAATGAATATGATTTCTCGTCGAGTCTAAGTCACTTCCTTGTTACTTTGGGTTATGTGAACCGGGAAGAAGGAAGGTAGGAAGGAAAGCATTGTCTACACACACCCGACTAGCATACACTTGACCCCGTACCCTAAGCAGTACCCCTAAGCAGTACTCTTGCGCGACGCACACCGCGACCCCCCCGCACTCCCCCCCGGCAAAGGCCCCTGCACCTGCACGTAGTAATCACACAGTCCCCCATGCTGCATCCGTCGCCACTGCCCGATATCCCTCCTCTCGATCTGGTGCTGATGGCGGTCCAGCGACGTCGTCGTCGGCACCCGCTTGTGCCCCAACCCCAGGTTATACGGCCGATACTCCGGGTCCTGCTGCAGCCGGTGGATCACACTGGCGTGGATGCGCGCCCCGTCCGGCAGCGGCCGCCGCAGGCCCCCGACGTGCCACCGGGTCTCCTTCACGGAGCCGTCGCGGTTCACCTTGGGGCGTTTCATGGGCAGGCACTCGAGCAACCGCCAGAAGAGCGTCTCGACGCCTTTCCCGGAGTCGTACTCGAGGGAATCGTGCAGCGGGGCGCGTTCGGCCATGTGCACGATCGCGGGGTCGAACTCCATGAGCGGTTGCTGTTGCTGTTGCTGTTGCTGCTTTGCCACGTCCTCTACCTCGATCAACCTCCCCTCCCTACCATCATCATCCCCATCCTCCGAAGAAGAACCCGCCGAAGAAACTGGAACCAAATGACACCCCAACTCCTGCAACTGCACCGGATCAAACGTCAACCCCACATGCGTCGCCTCCTGCACCATCCACATCAACGGAATCTGACTGACGGGCCAGCTCCTCGCCCCTTCCCCTGCATAACTTGGAGGATGCCCGCCGCCAACATCACTATGATCGCCCGCGAAATATACCTCCTCGAAATCCGTATCCAGCACGGGGCTCAGCGGCACCCCCCAGAACTGCTGCTCCGCCCGCTCCGCCCACGTACTCACCCGCCCTTTCTTCGCGTGCGCGCCGCGCAGCCGCTCGAACAGCACGGGCTGGAACTTGATGCGCTTCTCGTCGATGCTCACCGCGTGCCGCATGTAGCGCGGGCGGGGCATCGTCTCCATATCTTTCAGCACGTCCTTGTTGAACTCGGCGACGCTGTTGACGGTGTCGAACAGTCCCAGAAAGTGGACGAGTCCGACGGACCGGCACATCGTGTCCCGGCACAGCCGGAGGAAGTTGTCGGCTTGGCGCGCTTCCTGCTCCCCGTGCGCGTATTTCCACGACAGGAAGGCTTGCCATACGAACGGGATGAGTTCTTCGTTGTCGGCGGAGATGAGGCCCACGAAGTCGAGCATCTCGTTGAGGAAGCGTGCCGTGTACGCGCCCCGTGAGAAGCCGAAGAGGTAGATGTGGCTCCCCGGGCGCCAGCGCCTCGCTAAAAAGCGGTAGCCGCCGATGACGTGTTGGTCGAAGGAGGTTGCTAGGGCTTGGTCGATGACTTTGCTGGCGGGCAGGTTGCTGAAGGGCCGGAAGGCGACGTTGGCGAATGTTCCTGGGGTTATGTCGGTGCCGATGCCGGCTTGGGAGAGTTAGTATGTGTGGAAGATTCACAAATGGGGGGGATATACGTTGGTAGTAGCAGTCTGGGGAGAGGGATGTTTAGTATGTTTTGAAAGTTGATTACTGAAGAGGCAAGGCTTACATCGATTCTCTTTGCTGCGGTCCAGCATCCGAAAGATCTTGAGGATATTGCTCTCGCCACCGTCAACCCGAAACGTATTCCCTGTGCCGTCGAAACAGAGCACCAGTTCTTGGGTGGGCTTGTTGTGCACCGGCGGCCGGTCGCAGTCGCATGGATCGTAAGTCATGGTTCGATCTGGGGTGGGGTTGAATTGGACGAACTCCGACCCAGACCTGCGTGGTGAGGTCCTTATATCTTGCCGAAATGCCTCCAGGCTGTCGCCCACCCCAGCTGAATCGGGCAACCTGCCAATAGCCCTG